AAACGGGAATAAAGATTACAGAAATTGAACGTTTTTCGTAATCTTTGATCGGCCCATTCTCAAATGCCTTTCTCCGTTCCTCCTCTCATTCCGTTTGTTCCTTGCCGAACCCGTAATTCCCTGGTCCATTCCAGACTATAATCTTTGCAATTGGTAAAAATGTAATCTTTATTCCCGTTTGTGACACTGTGGAGGCCTAAAATACGGTAACCAATCAGAAATGGATTCAAATTGTCTTGACTCTCAGTATAAAGGGACTCTAGTTTTCGGTATGCATACCCTTTTCGCCCCTCGGGCGTCGGGTAAACATTTTTTAAATTTTTTTTTCAAGAAAGCAGGTGTGTTTTTACATCATATAGAAACTTTTGAGAGATTTACCTACTTGAAATTCGCAAATTTGAAAAATAAGGGACACCCTAACTTGCCCGTAAAAGTTCGTATGGAATGCAAATGTGCATTGCATGCCAATAATATTTATTTCAGCACTTACTTTGAATAAGAAAATGAAGCACTCATATATTGATTATTTTTGCAGCCAAGTACCCAAGATACCTGAGCCAAAAAGTAGTAGCACTCACTGCAAATCAAGATACCCAGCGTGGAACTTGGCCAAACGGATTTTCAAATTCTGATAGTAATGGAATTCAGAGGGTAATTTACTTGACCAGTACTTTCAAATTTTGTCTTCGTTGAAATACAGAGTTGCTATCGTTTTTACCGACTAACATCATAGCATTAAGTTAAGGGGTTTCACTTCCCTTTTTTATGTGATTTGCGCTAATGTAAAATTTTGAGGAAGTGTCCATGTGTTTAGCTTCCGAGGCATTTTAATCTCGAAAATTAATGACTGCCTCTAAAAGTCTCCATTGGCGTTTATTTCTGAGGCAATAATTCGTTAGATTGAAACTCCTCTAAAAGATTCAAATTCGATGACGATAGCTCGTAAGGACAACGTCTCGCGCAGAATAGTTTAACATTTGGACGTACTTATGCCAAAAGGAACTATGTCACACGCAATCCCTATTCACATAGTTACTTTTAGCATAAATACGTCCATTTTAGAATTGATGATCAAATATCTCTGCGTTAAAAAGCAAAAACCGATAAAACCCCATGAGAGATTCTTATGCACCTAAAACTAGAAACTATGCAACCATTTAATATTTAATTTTTTATCCTCGAATACTTAACTCACATCACAACTCGTAGTCTCTCCCCTTATCATTGGCGGATCCAGCAAATTGGCAACATTGTATTTTCTCCACTTAAATCAATGGAAATGTATCGATCCTTGGAGGGGCCAGGTGCTTCGACAAGAATCGATTATTTAGCATAGGTTTAAATGAAGGATATCCGCTGTTGCCAGATTGCTGGATCCGCCTCTGCCCCTTGTCCTTGCTCAATAACATTTTCTCACAATGCTTACTGGAAGAACATAATTTCAATAGCTAAAGTTGAACGATGTGTATCTCTATTGCAATGTTTTAAAATTTCCTAATATGTTTTAATTTTTTTAAAGAACAGTTATCAAAGTACCTCCACAGAAGTTCCACGTGAATATTTTTGAGGAGGTATTAAAATGTGTAGAAAATTCCAAGAGAACACGCCAGTTGTTTTCTTTTGATAACGAAGTGAGAAAGGTGGCAGTCTGTAAAGTCACAATGGAGGTACATATTTTTTAACATAACCATCGACTTGGACAACTTCATAGACCGAGGAGAGAGTCTTTAATTATTCACGTATGCAACATGGCTATCCATCAAGCCATGATAGTTGTAGGCGTCGCAGCTTACATCTCTGCATTTGTTACGTTTGGAACGAAGGCGGAATCCGTCTCATGTAGTGAACATGTATCAACATCACGGAAAAAACGAGTTTAGGATGGGGCCCTAACTAGAGGTAGGGCAGTGAGAGGTAGCTCACGTCCCTACAGATTATAGGCACGATGCCTCCATGAGCTAGTTGCGAACGCTGCCACCGACTGGGTTTTGAGGTTTTAGTTACTGCGCATGCGCGTGCATGCGCAGGAGTAGCGAATACCGTCATTTCTCGCTGAACGCCAGTTGAGGACTGATGCCCGTATGATCAGGTGTCATTGATATGCCGAGAGGGGGAATTGCACTCAAGAGGCGTAAATTCGCTGCCACATTCATCGAGGCCTCGTAGCCTGGTGGTACCGCGCTGGTCTACCATCTCTGCGATGCGAGTTCGAATCCATGCGAGGGCACGGATTTTTTACGCTTGGCGTCGATATGCAGGTAGGGCTGGACCCTACCTTCAGCTTGGGCCCGACCCTCCGAGGTTTAGGTGAAGCAATTTCACCTACCCGGGTTTGGGGCCGGGCCCTGCGCCGCAGTACCCGATCCTAAAACCGTTTTTTCCGTGATGTTGAAAGTATTCACTATCACCTTTTTAATTTGTTTTATTCATCTCTGATGCAGGGAATTGACGCTTTTATCTTGGCATATACCAAGGATATTCCAAACATCTTTTCTGGGTACAGCTACAAAAATACGAATTCTGGACCACCTATGGACGATTCTGAAAAAATAACCTCTCCGCTCAATTGCACTAACGGCTGGACCTGTGAGCACAGGTTCCCTCCTCATCAATGGATTGTGAAATTTTTCACAAACTATGTCCAAGGTAATTTATTCTCGAAGACCGTCGACGATGAAGGGACCTTAGTGTTCCGTGAAAATTTGTTGCCACCACCGGGATTCGAACCCGGGACCTGCTGGTCTGGAGTCAGGCGCGCTGACCGCTAAGGCCAACCTGGCCGGCAAGCTCAACAATAAGAGACACCTTACTGTGCATTGATGACGGCGCAGAGACACAACTATTCGTGCTTGATGGATGCCCGTGTTGCATCTGCAAAATTGAAGGCGCGATGGCGCAAGGCGTGAACTCCTAATGCTCCATTCTATGCTGCCAATGATATGTCGCTCAGATTCGGGCGAAAACTTGAAAAGCGAGGCCCGATTACGTGTTTCCTGGCTTTGTTGCTTACATAATCTTTGAAGCACCACTAAAAATAAGACAAACGGAACCAACACAACATGTAAATAACAGAGAGGAGATAAGGACGCGCGTAGATGACGGCGTGGAGATACAACTATCCGTACTTGATGGATGTCCGTGTTGCATCGGCAAGCAGCAAATTGAAGGCGCAATGGCACGAGGCGTGAACTCTCAATGCTCCGCTCCATACTGTCAATGAGGTGTCTCTCAGATTCAGGAGAAAAGTTTAAAAAAAATAAATAAAAATACGTCTTTCGGCTGTGCTAACACTCGATTTTTTTCTCATTCATTCCACTTTAACGTCTGATTTTTGTTTCAAGGTGTATTTGTAGACTTATATCTAAAGCTCGTATGTGCCGGCCCCAAGCGACCCGCTGGGCACGTGATTTCAGCAGGCCTCNGGGGGGGGGGGGGGGGGCGACTTGAGCATCTAACAGTTAAAATCAGACATTTTTACATTAAGAATTTTATATGTATGAGTATTTCCACCGGCATTCTACCCAAATTTTTAACTCATGAATTACTTTTCAAAATACATTAGATTTTGAAAGAATTTTACTTCTGATTCCAGATGCGCCAGTTGAGAACTGGCAAAGCAATTGGGACGATGGGACCGAACTTCAAGCGGCGTTCACGAGAGGAAAAAAAGGTTTTGCTGTCTTCAACGCAGATACAAAAACACTGAAACATACTTTTAAAGTAAGAACATAATTCCATTTTTAGTGTTTTCCTTTCTTGAATCCCTGAATAACCAAATGTCGTAAAACCTTGTGATCGTGTGTGTTTTTATCAATCATCCAGTTTTTTGTTTTTTTTCTTTTTGTTTTTTTTTACAGAGAAGCAGCTCTTAAAAGCAGGATGGGTGTAATTTTATTGAAATGTTTTAGAATTTTCACCCTATTTTAAATCTTATCAGAAAATTGAATGGTACTTTCGTATACAAAGTTCAATAGATTATATTTTAAATAGGCATGTGGAAAAAATTGCGTTTCAGCGGGAAATATTAGGCTGATTTTATTTGCCAAATAGGTATTTTTAGGAACAAATTAAGATAATCTTGATGAAAAGGAATTATATCGCGACGCTGTCGTTCATAATTTAAAATGGATCAACCGGAAGGAAATCGGAAATAGAATTTAGATACGGGATGGAATTAGATCCAGGAGGGCATTGGGCAATCCAAAATTGTCATTTCAGAGGCAGTCTATGACTACAAGCCCTCGATACTTTTATGTTGCAAAATATTTAGAATGTTGATAAAGTTAGTAAAGCCAAATTCTACCGCCGGAATTATATAAGAGAGGTTAATAGGACAAGGCGCATACGTGCATTTTTCGAAAAAATTGACACATTTGTATATGATTCTAACTAAATCTACGTTTAAAATAAATTCTGGAGAAAATTCACAGGTTAAATCCGATGTTCAAGCATCAAAGTGTGAGTTTGGACTCTCTTTCCGCCATAAGGCTTCAGATAATTTAGAAACTTTAAAGACGTTTTTCTCGAAACAGCAAAACTGCACTTATGCGCCTTGTCCTCCAAGCCCCTCATTTAATGTATCTTGCGTTAACCGTGTTCAAATACGCCTCTGAAACTTTCAAATCCCTTAGCTAGAAATAGAGAAAATTTTCACTGTGTCACTTACGAGACCTTGGGAGGAAACGTTACATCTTACAATTCAAATGTGCATACTAAGACCAAATTTTTGCCCAGGTACCGCTCTCATCCGGTGTGTACTGTGACTTGGCGACCGGATATTACAGTTCTGAACATCGAACTTGCAGAGGCACAAGTGGAATAACGAGTAGAAAGGTTGAGGTAAAATCGGACGGCACCGTTGAAGTGTCTCTCCCTGGGATGGCAAGATCATCATCGGTCAACTTGAGAGACACAGTAGCTGAGCCTGCATATCTCGTCATCAGTGATCGGTCGAAGATTCTTTGAGAAGAAAATGAATGCGTCCATCACGGACAGAATAAGTTTGACCGTCTTTTTCGATTCGAAGCTATAAGGCTTTCAAATTGCACCGCTGGCCAATGAGTGGACTATGAAAGGTATCGACCACACCATTTGAACATAGGTGGATCCAGGCACTTTTACAAGAGGCTAATTTCATTTAAAGTTCCGAACCTTCTTAGGAAGTTCTGTCCCAGTTTGTCTCATCAATCACCATCACCAGAGGACACCGTTGTTACCAGATTCGACCAATCAGGTCCGTTGGTTTTCGATAGGTCGAACTTTTTTAGCGCCAGGTGGTATAAAAATCACGCACTAACGTCGCGATTCGTTAGTCATCGAGTCGGAAGTTCCGAACTCAAGTAGAATGGCAGCTCGAAGTAGAGTACCTATATTGAGAGAGTATGGCCACTGGGCCCCATGGAGAGGCTTAGGACCCAAAAATGGCGGTGCTTTGTTTTGGTTTTTGTGGATGGAAGGGGGGTCATTGCCAACTTTTGACGGTCATCACTAACCGCACTTGCTGCCAACCTTACTACATCTAAGATAATTTTTCTCAAAAATTGCACACGATTAGCCTTAAAAATATGTAAAGATGTCGCAATAGTGCATTTGAGTAAATTTCTCGTTACGATAAGCAAAGAAAACTACATTTTGAGTCATTTTGCATTACATTAATTTATGGCGTCCGCCATTTTTGGGTCCTAAGGGCTCCATTTAGCCTAAGATGGCTCAGCCAATCAGAGGTGGTAACCTCAGTGGCCATACTCTCTCAATATATAGGTACTGTAGCTCGAAGGTTCGGACACTTTTTTTTTTTTCTCTCCTTAAAGAGGAAAACAACGGCGGCAAGCTGAAAATGTAGCCTTTGAGATAAGTGCAATTTGCAACTTTTACTATCAATGTCTTGTAAAAGTAATGTTTTAGATAAATTAAGAAACCCTGTAAGAGGAAAAGTAAATAGGCAAAAATGAATGAATAAAAATATTTTATGCTATTTGCTGACCATTTCAATTTGCCTTGTTCTACCCACAAATATAGTTATTAATGACTAAATGTCATTTGTTTTATTTCGTCCAAAAATGTATCAACGCAACCTGCTACCCTAAAATGATTAAAGCGGTGACTTGCTCCTCGATTATCTGCCGTCTCGAGCATACTGAATGGCCGTAACTAGTGTTGCACTAAACAGCACATCTCTTCAAGGAAAAATTGTGCTCATATGAGCTTTTTCCCTCTTTATTAGGATTTTCAGCTGTATGTTAATTTTTAACGCATGTCAGCTACGTCACCAACTTTTCCTGTCTACATTTTTTGTTGCCACAGACAAATCATCTCCCTCTGTGTAAGTAAATAACAGTCCTGGTTTTAATGGGAACAAATATCAGTGATATGAAACCACAAAACTGGATTGATTTCAGTGACATTACTACTTATCTAGGTAATAAATTTTGAGAGACGCAAAACCCATCCGATTTATATGAACGATGATTTAGAAAAGGTCCTGCTAAAAATTACAATGATGGAGAATTTCAGAGGAGGAGCCATTATCTCATGCAGAAAGAAATTATAAGATGTTTTCATCTTTCAAAAGACCAATTTGTGGGAGAGTGGTCGAAATGAAACAACTTTTCTGTTTTTTTCTGTCGAAAAATCGGGGAAATTGCAGTCAGAAGCTGAACTAATTAGACATTTACTCCTGTTAAAAGTTTTAAATGTGCAATGACAGTGTTAAATTTTATCCATGATCTCAAGTCATGGCTAATAAAAATAAGACAAAATTGGAAATCCTCTGCATAGCTTTAATTTGATTTGATTTCATTGAAAATTCTGAGACGTAACGAAAATGCCATGTACAAATTACGTTAGAGTGCGTGTTAACGTGCCGCAGAATATGACAACCCCCCTCCCATCCATTCGTGCGAGCCATGCTGTAAAACCCGTAATTTTGAAAATGGCGCGCTAAAATCGCACCGTTGGCACCGGTGTGAAAAATCTTCATAACCTCACTTTCAGAAGTCACATGTAATGGAAATGCAGAATGCCATGTGGAAATATCTATTCAGTTTTTCTTTAATTTTGCATAATTTTAGTGGAGAATGTGTTTAATTTGCGCAAGAACACACTGAGACGGAAAAATGAAGAACAAACCCGGACGTCACAAGACTACTAACTTATTCAAGGTATGATTTCTATTCGTATTGGTATAACCGAAGGACTGCTACTGCTTATTCAGAAATTTGAAGAATTATACGCACAGATTTCTGTTATAAACTACTGATTAAATAAGACCTCAGCTATTAGTTGTAGATCGACCTGTGTATCTCTCAGATCAAGTTTAGTTAAGTTCCATATCAGCAGTAAAGTCATGTTTACGTTACGACTCCAACGCAGTGGTACATCAATTTGCTCTATTATGTCTCAGAATTTTTTATCCCTTGACTGTGTCAAAGCAGTATATAAAGGTTTCTGCTCTTTCTGTAGAGAAAATATTCTGTAAAACATCAAAGAACCAATCAAGTAATCTAATATGGTATTTCCGTTACCAGATGCACTTGAACGAGTTAACATTATTTTTTATTTTGAAGCATTCTATATAGACGCTATTAGTGGCGCGTCGTTGTAGGGATTCTCCATATTATTGAATTGGATCCAAACTATAACATTGGCATAATCTCTCTCAATGCTATCATTGCGAAAAAATCTACATATATCGCTTTTCTGTGACATGGCACTAATAGTGTGTACCCATAACTACTATGCTCTTAACCAATACCATAAAAATGTTGAATAATGCTGAACAATGCTGCTCTGATTGCTTTCCTTTTGGATTAATTTTCCATTAAGCAACACTGCAGTGAAAATTGAACCCATTCTAATTTCAATCGCATCAATTTTCTCCTTTCAGTTTCAATCATTTGGAGAGCGCATCTCCGGTGTAAATGTGGATGTGTTCCACCGGGTGGGGCATGAAAATGAATCTCCAGAAGAAGGGGAGGACGCTCCATCATTTCTCCATCAGCGATTGGTCAAGTGGGATGACTTGAATTACTCGGAAAGCTATAAGAAGCTTCGCAGACAACTGCCAGGCAACGTAAAATCACCAGTGGATGTTATAGCTCAGAAGGATCAAATTCTGAGCATTTTGCTTGAAACATTGAAGAATCCAGATCAATATTCACTTCAAACTACATTAGAGTAAGTTGATTAATTTTTCTTTAAAAAAAACTAAAGAAACTTCGATTGAGCCCTTATTTTAAAATTCAAATATTGAAGACGTCACATTACGACGGCGTAAGTCCGCAATCGCATATCTCGTTTGCGGTGTCTGAAAATCTCGGCCTCTATGTTATTTTTTTTAAAGAAGAACAAATTGGCATCATTCCTTGATGTTTGTGCAGAATTTTCTTCATACAGAGAAAAAAAATCCTGGCAGTTTTAATGAATTGCTGTTGAGTAGTTTTCTGTTTAAAAAATAAAGTATGACAGGAAGTCTGCGTCGTCGCAAACCGAGTTATGTAATTGCCAACTTACACCGTCAATTAAAATCTTTTTATTCTCTAAGTCAAACATTTTTTGATTAAGTATTCTTGCACTTGCATAGGATGGTAAGACAAGATAGTGTGGAACTACCAGCCAATCAGTAGGAATATTTGAATGGTCAAAAATTTGCATATTTTGCCTAGTTCTCAGAAACAGATTTTAAAATCTAAGCTAAAGCCTCAGAATCCAATTCATATCTCAAGACCCAATTTAAATTATATAAAATCAGGCTTGAGAAAAAATCACAAATTATTTGAAGGAGAACCATGAAGACTGAATTTTTTTCTTTTATAATTTTTCTTCGTGCCAATTAGACCTTGACTTCAAATCCTAGGGGCGCAAGAAGGGCCAGGGTGCTTGATTGGTTGATTGCGGGAAAAATGCAAAGGCACCTTGAAAAGGGAAAATATTGTGGGAGCAGATGGCATTTTTTAGAAGAAACTATTAAAAGCTCTATTTTTTTAGAACAAAACTACAAAGCGTATTACTTTTGGCAAAGAAAACTGGATGGCATGCTCTTCCAAGCGGAGAGAATATTGATTTGCAGTCTTTTGTAGACAGTGTTGTGATGGCCGCCTCAATAAATGTAAAGGTAAAGTGGTCTTAAGTGAACAGTAGTGTGAAGACACCCTCAAAAAATACAAAAGCAAAGAACTTTCTGCCTCCACGTTAAATCCTCAAACTTTTTTTCACCAATTAACATATCTACATAACAAATCGTGAACAAGGTTCCAAAAATAGCCCTGTGATAAATCCTCGCTCTTCTGACCTAAGGGGGTATCTCAATGTCTACGTGAGCCCTGCTGTTTGTATGGGGCTTACGAGGAAAGAGAGGTGCACCCTTATGTCAAAGGAGCTAAAAATATGCCTCTTTACCCTCTTATTTATTTTGTCGAAAGATGTCCTCATATTAATTTAACTGAATCCTCTGGCTACCATTTTTTTTTCAGGCTTGTAGTTGCGCTAGCTCAAGACTTGGAAAAAGAATTCTACCCGTATTATTTTGACGTCTACCATCAACTTCTGCAACTTCTGAACTGCCAGGACGCTGATCAGCTTGAATGGACATTTTCGTGTCTTGCCTATTTATTGAAATTCCTGTGGAGAGTTCTTGTCAAAAACATCGGAATCGTTTTCAAAAGTCTTCTTCCACTTCTGAGTAGTTCGAAACCCTGGTATATCAACAATTTTGCAGCAGACACTTTCGCATTTGTTGCTCGAAAAGTCAAGGACAGGAAATCGTTCATGAAATTGGTCCTGGAAAATATTAGCAGCACGCATGATGATGTAAGTGCTATTCCCTTTTGTGTGGCATAGTTGGTGTTAGCCTAGATTATCTTTATGTGAAAGGAATCAGCTTATGGAGGCCGAAATTGCATATTTTTGCAAGTTGGTGTACTTGTCACTAATTTTTCTCATTGCTCCTGATGATAATCCCCTTTTTTTCTCAGTTAGCTTCAAAAAAGAATACATTTTTCTCTCGTTGTATCATAAAGGAGACACAGCTAGTCACTTTAACATAAATGTCAATAATTTTCCTTATTATTTAGATTGGAACTTAAATTTTACAAAATGGACCACTAAACAAAGTGAAAACGTAAACATTGGTGATACATGCATCATCTTTAAAATTTGATGTAGGGCACTATTTGCGCAATGAAAATTACCAAAACTAATTCCTCACCAAGATATCCACAACTTATGTAGCACCTGTTACGGAAAATTTCAATTCCCTGCTCACAAGAAAAACCAAAGTCTACCTGAATCAAATTGTACACTACAACGGTTTCAACAGGGTTTTCAATTGAGTAGTGCTCCCTTCCCACCCTTTGTTGCAAAAAGTGTTAAAGTATGCAACAGCAGAGCCAAAGCGCTAAAATTGTAGTTGCCATATATTCATACCGCAGAGACTGTTTTTTTTAATATTTAGTGGACGATTTAAGTTAAACAGATCATGGTTTTTTATGAGCGGGAATTTCAAATTTATGCATGAAAAAACGTGCATATCTTATTTAGGAGTTACTATCCGTAATTTTGTTGCAAAAATTGTGTTTTGTGTAAAATGATGCTAATAAGGTCCCCTTTGCAAAGAAGAATTTAAGTTAAAAATGTAGTTAAAAATCATCAAAGTCTAATTTTAGCAAAGAATATCCTCTCGTTTTCTTGGGGGCTCATTGATATTTTCTTGTAATTTTCACCTGTCCACAATTTCATTATCTGTTTTATTCTTTCAGAAAATTGCAGGTTGTGGTCGATTGTTTTTTGCAATCATCAAAGGAATTACGGGACAGTTTCATAGCTGTGCAAATCAGTATTTTCCATTTCTTTTCGAGTCGCTATCTGATGATGAGCTACCACATGATGTTTTATTCAAGATCCTTGCGGAAATGTTGGGTCATGTCAACAAGTCGGTCAGTCCCAAAAATTGTGAGCTCTTGTGGACTGTTCTTTTGGTGAGTAGTCAATGCTTATTTTCACCAATCATATCTGTCTCTTCAAAAATGTTTAAGTTTTCTTGAGGTATTTAATACTCATACTAGTATGTGATTTCTTAAAAAATGGTAAAAGATTTTGACTGGGGTTCAAAAAAAGCGTCTTATCAAAACAAAACTACCCCTCATTTTGAGCAAATAAAATACCACAATCCCCCATTTTTATTGGCGCTCAAGTATTTTATTATAACTATATAAAGTATCTGACCTCATAAGTTTTCATTTCTTGTCTCTGTTTGTTCCACCATTTTGCAGGGCCGATTTTCATGATTTTTGCAGTTTTCAATTACTGATAGGCTTTGGATAGCGCGCTCTGTTCAGATTTTAGAAATATGTTAAAGGATTTTCATTATTTTGCACAATAAAATTGTTAATTCTCCCATTTAAACAATGCCAATGTTCTTTCTTTGTCACAGTTTGTTCTAAAGATCTACGTGGGCTGATTTTCATGATTTTTATGGCTGTTGACAGAAAATAGTATCGAGATAAACCCGTTTGATTTAAACTTAAACTCAATGGGGCACTCAAAGATGCTCCCTAGGGATAGGCTAGGGGTTGCAACCCCTAGTTTTATAATGAGATTGCAATTATAATTTAACACAAGTTTTTTTTTTTTTTTTTTTTTTTTTTTTTTTTTTTTTTTTTTTTANTTTTTTTTTTTTTTTTTTTTTTTTTGCTCAATTTTTCAGAATACATTGAAAAAGTTCTTAGAGCGCTGGAAAGCAAAATCAACTGAAAAAACCGAAACTAACATTCAAGACATGCTAGCGTTAATACTGATAGTCTTGAAAGGTAGAGACGCTGCATCGGTTACCAATCCAGGTCAACTTATCGGTGCAACAATGGAACTTTTGGATGCAGACCTCCCCTCACAAGTTAATCGATTGGTGTCAGACGTCACCTCTACACTACTGAAGTCCCAAAATCTTCATTTGTCACAGGAGTCAGCGGTTCAACTGTCATCAAAGGTATTTCAAATCTTAATTTGGAACATAGTTTGCTTTTCGTTTCTCCTCCCTCGGCACTTAGAGAGTTCTCCAAAGTTCAGTTTGACTTTTTCCTGCAATCTCTTGTTTAAAACTACTTGGAAGCTGGTAATTCTTCCTCTAAAAAGCATAGTCTCCTTTAGCTGCAGAAAAAGGTCATTTTTCTCATCAAATATGTATTCTAAAAAAATATGGCTTTAAAAATTACTTAAACCTAAAGGTGGCAACCTTTAAAGATTCCATACTTCTCCCAAAACTGAGATAGGAAAATCATAGATAGATGTTTAATATTCCTGAATTGGAAATCAGACTGTTGTTGCTTAGAAATTAGAGGTTCTGGCCAAGCATGGATCCCAAGATATTGCTCATCATCAAACTTTATGCTCCATGATGGTTGAGTCAAAAATGTTGAAGGTCTCTAAAATTGCGTACTTAGATAGCTTCTAAAATTGGCCATAAGTGTTGAGATGGGTCCTTTAATTCTGAGGTAAAGTTGGTAAGAGGTAATTCCGTAATTTCAGTAGCATTCATTAAAAATCTATTGGTTCAACGGAAGTTTTTGAGCCTGAAGCTGTTTAAAGCCAGCGATGGATCCTCCCTAAAATATGTTTAATTCAATTAACCCCATAGAGCTTTTGTAAACCCAATTTCAACCTTATAACTGTTGGGAAAAAAAAGTCCTCTACTTAATTGTATTTTTCTGCTGTGTCAAATTAGAAATGTAAGACTCGTTTCCTTTTGCAGGTATTCTCAAAATTCAATTTCGAGCTCTTAATAGAGTTTGTAAAGCAAACCCTGAGTTATGTCAATTTTGAAGCTCTTATCCTACCTGGAACCCTTAGTGCTTGTGCGGAAGCTGTAGCAGGAGACAAACAAGTTCTGTTTAAAGTAGTGGAATTACTTGCTGAAATAGTATCATTCAAAACTTCTTGTTGCGTGACCAGTGAAGACCTGAGTGAATGGCAGTTCTACTCTCTAAAGGACAACCGCAAAAGGTATGTTTAGCTCATTCCAAGTTCCTCTTTGTTTTCATTATCTGTAATGGACCACTACACATGGTTCGAATTTAAGCATTCTAATACCTGTCTCCTACCCAGAATTTCACATAGAACACGATTCTTGGCTATGTCTCCAAGAGCAGTTGTGTGCAGCAGTGTCCATGGCAGTCTCTGGCAATGGCGATTAGGCGTCGCAGAGCACGAGGCTGCTCTATAAAAGCGGCTTAATGTATGTGTATCTGGTCTCCCTTAAGTCTCTCTGTACTTTGAGTCTGGACTTTTTGAATTATGGGATCACAGATCATCAAAAATATTGGGAAAGTTAAAAGACCTGCATAGCTTTGAGTTATCCCTGATTACCAGGGAAAACTGGTTTCATCATATCTTTGTTCATTTTCTTCTTATCTCTGCACTCTTTAATTTTCTCTTTACATCAGAATTTTTGGAATTCCAGAGGCCTTTGTTCTATGTTAATTGATGCCACCAGTGAAAACCTAAAATACTGAATTCTATGAAAAATACTCCAACGGACATTACCATATTATGTATCTTTTATATTACAGGAGCAGCAAAAACCAAATTTGTGAATTAAGTGTTGACTATCTTGATCGCATCAAGTCAGTGGATGAAATTATGACTAGCTATGAAAATGTTCTCAATATTTTTATAATTCTACCGCACTTCAAGACGATGAACTCTAAACAAGCTGCGGTGCTTTTAAGGATAAACCAGTTTATTCTGGATGAATTGGCAAGGACAGATCTAAATTCGGATGAGCAAATTTGCAAACTTTTCCACTTGTGGACTTTCGTGCTTATTACTGTCATCCAAGTAGAGGACGCAAAAGAGCAGTTCCTCAAAAATTTAGCTTGTGATAAGTTTTTGGGTGTTCTATTGAAACATTGTCAGCAAGATATTTGTACCACTGCAGTCTTAAGAGTTTTGGATTTTTCCATCTTTGCTGCATCGGCATCTGCGATCAATCACAAGCTATGTTTGAAGATTGAGCAGGAAGTAGTGAAACACTTGGCATCACCATTTCATATGGTAAGTTGTATGCTTTTGAAATTTGTTTCTGCTTCTTCTAATGAAATTGCTCTTAAGAGCTCTGTTCAGATGAGAGAAAACTTTGTGCTGTTCACAAAAGGGATGGCTGTGGTTGTAGCCTTGAACTAGAAACAAGTTTGCTTGTGAGAGGCAATTCAAAATCACTGGCCATGAAAAAATAGACTCTTTAGAATGGTCAACCACAGAAGCGTGAAAGTCTAGACACCAAGTTGACTCAATGAGCTATCTAAATCTTCCAATGAAGAGGGGAAAAATTAAATGTGCTATGATTTGCTAATCTTAATCCTCTAGATATAATTTTGCTTGAAATAAAGATACAGTAAGACCTCGATTTATCGCATTTCGGCCTCCAGTCTCCTCCGTGAGACCGGAGGCAGAATCCGTTAAATCGCGGAATCTGCTAAATCGCGCTAGTCGATCCCGCTGAAGGGACCGGAGGATCGATCCATTAAATCGCGGAATCCGTTAAATTGCGATCCGATAATTTGAGGTCTTCCTATGTGTATTTTGGAATAAAACTGTGTATATTTTCCTAGAGAAGGAATAACACCCTACAATCTGATCAAAACTACATGTTTTTATGTTCAATTGTAGTTGAATGGTCTATGGATACTGCTTTATAAATGTGGACTACTCTGCAATCAGTCTTATTAAATTGAGTTCACTCAATGAAAAATCGTAAAATGACAGGCGCATAATGACTTTTTTTGGGACAGTTACACGGAGCATATCATTAGCATAGCCACATTAGAACATACTTTTGATTGAAATTAAGGTATTTCAACTGCATAAATAGTTAAATTTTGTTTCTTGATTCCCAATCTCCAGCTCAAACAGCTAAAAATGGTAAATTTAAAAGGCTCCAAACGTTAAGAATCACACCCTAATTTCATTTACTCATTTTTTTTTTCCAAATGATTGTTTTAGCAAATAGCTCAATTTAATGTATAATTTTTAAAGCACCAAAATTCAAATCTCAAGAAAAACTGGAAAATTTACGGCATTCAACGTGCCTTTAATTCTTTGAGCCCAGTTTCAATACATCTTCCTCAGACACATACATTTTTAGGGCTCAGAGGATTGAGGGCAAAATTTTCCCTGTTTCTCTTGAAACTTGGATTTTGGTGCACGGTTCCTTAAAAAAATCTTAAGTCCAAAGATTGAAGAGTTTCTAAGTCAGTATTTAAGTAAACAACAATATTAATCTCAACCATCAATTTATTTTCAGATTCGACTGCTGGCCGCAACCATTCTAGTCTCTCTAAACAAGAACCAAGAGCATGAAACTGCCACAAACAAATTACAGGTTTATGAAACAATTCTCAAAGCAGAGAAGTTTGAGATCAGCATTACTGCATATCGTGACAAGCTGATATGTTTGCAACGCTTGGAATACAATTCAAAGTTAAAAGATCTCCTTGATGACAATCTCACAGCACCGCTCAGTTATCTATTCGGTACTTTGTTCATTAACTTCAAGTTAATTTGGAGTCCTGTTAATGAAATTGTAACAGCGTACGCCAGTATGATGCCTGTTGACAAATTTTGGCCCATCTACCGAAACCAGTTACTCTTCACATCAGAGCTCTGCAGAAACCGGGTGCTTCAAAAACATCAAGTTGATGTCCCGTTTAATGGTAAGTATTCTTTTCCCTCTCTCTCTCCCACCCTCTTTCTTTTTAGTTTTGTGGTGTATTTTAAGGAATGTGTCAGTTGTGCTGGTCACGGAATCTTGTTTTGATACTTGATTCTTGTAGATGAGCTTAAAATAATAAGATCCGTCCAAACGCAATTTTCTACGTTCAGTATCAACTGAGCTATCGCCCTTGGAAAGGTCGGGTTTTTGACGTCATCCACCGCGGTAGTGACACCTTTGGTTTCTTCCACTTTGCTTTCATCTGGGTTTCATGTTGAATAACCAGTGCTAATGTGCGTCACACTAACTGACGAAAACAAGGTGGAAGAAACCAAGGGTGTTACTACCTCAATTGATGATGTCGAAAACCCGACTTTTTAATGGGCAATATCTCGGTTAATATTGAACGTAGAAAGTTGCTGTTTGGATGGATCTTATTATTTATAGCCAATCTACAAGAATCAAGCGTCAAGACACGATTCCATGACCAGCACAACTGACCCATTAATTGTGGATTAATGGGTTGATTCATTATGGGATCAGGAAAGATACATACAAGGAGACAAATCTATTTGCTTGTAGGTTTTAAAAAAATTACTTATTTAAAGTGATGAATACTGTATAATATGCACATATTGACAGTCAAATGGGAAAACACGCATGTCGATTCCAATGTTTATAAATTTCTGCTCCCATTTAATTTGTTTGAAGAGGAATAATTTAACTTTACAGTTTGAAATTTATGTATTATATTCTTTTCAAAATCTTCTGATAGTCTTCCTCTTGAGGAAATTCAAGAAAGTTTTCAAGAAATTAGGTTGACTGTTTTTCCAAAGAAGAGTTAATACATAACAGGAATGCTGCAACTTTGCAAACGGAGATGCCTTGTTTATGCACTTTTTCCTTCGATATATACTAGGGTTTTTTTCGGAGCAAGAGGAACACAGAACATTAGGAAAAAATGGAAGTGGTTTATTGAAAAAATTCTTTCATTTATTTAAAAATAACCCCGCTCTAAAAGTTTTCAGAGGCATTTATCAGTTTGAAATTGATTTCAGGTCCGTTTCTGAACAGTCTTTATTCAAAACTAAACTCACTAGAGGAGAAACCTGACTACTTCAATTACCGCTGTTTGCTCCTGGAAAACTTGAAAAATTTCATCACCGTGCGAACGGTCAAAAGCAAAGAAATTTATGAACTCTTCCTCGATTTCATGGAAAATGAGTACAATGTCATCAACCCAGATGTGGCCAAATCGTGGAACGTGAAGCAGCACAACAAGTTCCTTGAGGCAGACGCTGAAGATGAGGCTAAAAAAGGAGATGAAGGCTCTCCAGAAGGACCAGATTTCTCCGCAGAGGTCACCCTTAGTGCTAAAAAGCTTAACAGGTAAATCTTTGGTCATTCCAAACCAATTTAGGCTTCAACAATTCTTCTCATGGACCTGGCTTCCATAAAATGTGCTGAAACTTGCCACTCACTTTCTTCATTCCCAACACAGAGCAGAAACTCGCCAATTTCTTAATTGCCTGTTCTCACAAACATTACACAAGTTTGTGAACAGAAAAATGTTGAGTTTTATGAAAATTATTAACTTTAATTAGTGGAAGCGTAGAAAATATTCATTCTAGTCTCAGGTGAAGCGATAAACACTACGGGGATTTTACGCTCAATCGAATGAAACTGCTGATGAAACCAGGGTATTCCTCACCATCTAAATTCTGTTACTTTTCGGGATGATGCTATTCACGAACTCTTGAGCACAATATGCTTCAGAAATCTGACTTTTCATGTGCCAATTTTGAGGAAGCAGGGCTTAAAAGTGAATAGAAATAGAAAATAATATAAAATAAAAATAGAAAAATGAAAAAGTTAGACCTCTGCCAAATCACTTAATTTTACTTGCCATCTCCTTTTACTCGCGCTCAACTTTGGAATTCTTTGGAGAAAAGAAACTCCAATTCCAAATTTCTGCAATGCAAGAAGTGTTTTTTACTCTGAAACAACGCTCAATTTTTTCAGATTTAGTTAGTCAATTCCAGTTAGCCAATTACTTTGTGAACCTGCTGTTTTCATGAAGATCACAAAAGAACTCGTCAACTTGACAGTAAACTTTATTCAAGAAGTCAATTTCTCTCAGTCTATTCACTCTATTTTCTCTACTTTAAATCCTCTCATATGGAAAGTTATTTTGCTATCCTTTAATCATTTCGAACAACCTTCAATCTGTCATGCTGAATTTGTGTTTAATTTTTCCAGGTTGCTTATGGCTTATCTGAAGCTCATCTGTTTGCCTCGAAACCAAAAATTAGCGGAATTGGAGTCAAAAGTTGAGTCAATTTATGAAGACCTGTTGATGCACCGATCTTCCGACATTCAGAAGCTTGCTTTTGATTGCATTGTCTCTCGCAAGTATGAATATCTCACCCCATACATTGAAAACATGAATCGATTAATTGACGACAAGACTTTCAAATCAGAACTGACGGCTTTCCGAATCGACTCAAATAGTGAAAGTGTAGTGCCACTTCACAGACCAAAGCTTATCCCCATCGTCCTTAGAATTTTGTACAGCAAGATGTTGAACACCAAGAAAGTGGGCAGCCACGTTCGACGGACAACAATTCTCCGATATTTAGCAGGTTGTGAGAGTAAAGAATTGGAACTTTTTGTTGAGATGTCTTTCAAATTGTTCATGCCCTGGGTTCGTAGTAACCCCGAAGTCTATCCTATGACATGTAACATAATGTCGTCGTTGAACCTGGAAAACACTATCCCACCACGTCAGCTGTTTTCATCCATCACCCTAGCTGGAGTAATCTTAACACAAAGCGGTGGTCTAATGGATGAGAAATCATTGCAGTTGCTCCTGAAAGTAATATTGGTGATCGGAGCCAACATGAGTGGCATATTCTCTCGGTGGCAAAATGTCCACTCAGGTTATCACAGCATGTTGAATAGAATCAAAAGTGCAGCCACAGACTTAGTTACAATGTTTTTCAAGCGCTTTGAAGCCTACAGTTGGACTGTTGATGAAATAAATGCTATCTTCCAAGTGTTCGTTTGGCCTTGGTTACGTCGGTTACCATATGAAGGTGTTTTCAGTCCAACGCCACTTTTTAAGCTGTTTGTATGCTGGAGTGAAAATCCACGGTACTTTAATCTTCTAGCAAAACCTACAATCAAAGACAATGTCACACCATTGGACATGCTAATGAAATTATTATTAAATGAAAAAACTCATGGATCGGTTTGTAATGGAATCTTGGAGATAATAGAGCGTTTACTGACTTTGAGTGATTTTCAGTCACATAAAATTGAAGACGATGAGGAAATAGTTATTAGTCCAATACCATTAGATTTTGAGCCTAAAGCTCCAGAAAATGGAAAATTAAAAAAGCGGCTGAACCTCGGAAGTTGTTTGCTGCATCCGCATCTCTACTCAATTCTGAAAAAGTTACAAAGTAGGCTGTTTGTTTCAAGGAAGAAGACTCTGTCTGCCCGAGACCTATTGATTCTGTCCAGAGTAACAGAGATCGCTGATGGAAATGAACTTGCAGAGTCATTGTTATCTTTAATTGTACCAGTTTTGTTGAACAAATCCTCTCAGGCGGAAGAAATAGTTTACCCATTACTGACAACAACGCTCAATCTATTGAAGCCAGTGAATGTCGACAAAAGTTACCTGCGTAAACTGGGAATCCTATTCGCAAATATCAGTCACGTTTCATGCAGGAAAATGCTACTGACATTAACGAAAGCAATTAGTTCGAAGCTAAACGATCCGAACGTAATGGATGTTAGCATTCTGTTTGACCTAAATGCATACAACAGTAAGTGGGTCGAGCAACCTGACTTTGACAAAAGATTGAGTGCGTTCAAGACCATTGAAGATAAAATCGAAGCCAATGCAATATCACCTGAACTGGGTGTGATCCTAATACACAATTTCTGCTTCTTTATCAACCACGAAACAGACATGGCACTGAGAGATCGTTCCAGTTTTTGTTTGAAGAAACTGGCCGTTATGCTTTGCTCAACATACAAGAGCCAAGATCTGAACTTCATTGTCAATCAAACAATTGCTCCCATCATGCAGAAATCGTTTAAAGATATCAAAAATGAAAAGATGTACACGGAGTGCGTAAGTTTGCTGGGCTGCCTGGTGCGAGAGTGTCCACAGGCATACTTTGTTTATCAAGATTTTGCACCGCTGGTCAACAAAGCAGACTTAGAGGTAGACTTCTTTGAAAATTTACTTCATCTGCAGTTGCACAGGAAGGTCAGAGCGCTGCTAAAGTTCTCGGAAATGTGCAAGAGTTTGAAGAAGTCTCCTAATTTGCAGACTCTGGTCAACTACGCTTTGCCGTTGGTCTCACAGTTCCTATGCACGCCGGAACACGTAGGGCACAACTCAATTATTGATGCAGCTGTTGAGGTAAGGACCTGAAAGAATTCTATGTTTATCAACAAATAGAAATCAAATCACAAAAGAATAGAATTTTCACAAATGAGAGTTTAAACAGAAACTGAGATGCTGAGGCATATTTTCAATATTTATTCCAATGCGTCCCACAGAACCGCCCCAAAAATCTGTTTTTCTGACTCAGGGAAAAAATCATTGTGTTATGAGATATTTGCTTATCTAGACTAGTTTTCGGTAATTTTTCATAAATGCTAGGCAGTGAAGTGGTCAATGCATTACCCTCGCATTTTGAAAGCAGAAGTTCAATCCTCCCCATTTTTACATATTTAGTACATAAATCATCTCAGGAACTTTTCCTAACTTGTTAGAAATCTACCCCAAAACTAGTAGCAAATTATGAAAACTACTGAATAATATTTTCTTTAAGACTCTATTTTTTATTCCTTCCTCTTTGAATCGTTTACCCTCAGAAACCTGCTGCAATGTATTTGTTTTTTATCTCATTTTCAAAAGGCAAGGGGGTGATTTTTTAAATAGTTTTTTTTGTTATGTTTCAGGCTTTAGGAAGTATTTGCAAACTTCTACCATGGCAACAGTATTATGCAATCTTGCAGTTTTATTTGAGTAAAATGAAACGACTGGTAGAGTTCCAAAAACAGCTTGTAAAAATCGTCAAAACCATACTAGACTCTTTTCATTTCGACTTGTCCAGAGCTGCAGAGATTAAAAGAAACCCAAATGGTAAAATAAGGAAGAAGAAAAGTACGTCCAACTCGTCTGATGTGAACTCAGTCGCAGAAGAAAATGCTGGCGATGATACCTTAGATGACCCCAGTAAAATTGAAGATGACCCAGCAGAAGAAACAGTAACAGAAACTGGAAATGAGAATGAGGCACCAGAGAAGGAGACAAATGAGGAAGATGAGAGCAATGAAGGAGACGAACCCAAAGACGAAGATTTAGAAAAGCTAGAAAGAGAGCTTGCTGTCAATATTTCCGAGGAACCGGAAAACGTTTGCGTTGATGAAGAAACAGAAGTTGAGCCTATTGTCAACCGTTTGTCCGTTCTTCAACCGATGGAAGCCAGCAAAATCATCCACACAATCGTCAGCAATCTGTTACCGCAGCTTCGCGCAACTATCGCTGAACGGTCTCTCACAGATAAATTCCACAAGTCAAACAAAAAGAACGCAGGCCCTGATCGTGACGAAGAAGACATTCTCCGTATTCCTCTAGCTCTGACGATCACGCAGCTCCTTCAAAAACTACCGGAAAAATTACTGAGAGCCAACATCCCTGGTATTTTCATGAAGCTTTGCATGTTTTTGACATCTCGCCTAGAGAGTGTCCGTCGTGCGACGCGGCAAACACTCCAGCAAATTATACTGTCCCTGGGACCTGAGTATTTGGAGACGTTGATAACGGAAATGATATCTCTTTTGACGAAAGGCTTCCATGTTTATGTTCTCGTGCATACTCTTCATTCTGTACTGGTGGCAGTGCAACCTTTGTTGAAGGCGGGGGATATCGACCGTTGTTTACCACTCATATTGAAGGTTTGCATGGAGGATGTGTTCGGAAGTATTGCTGAAGGGAAAGAATCTGCCCAAGTGCAGGGTAAATGGGTTGAAGCCAGGGGCAACAGGAGTTATGACGTTTTCCATATATTGGGTGAATTCATCAGTCAAAAATGCTTGATCAATCTCATCCTACCTTTAAAAGAGGTGAGTAGTCCCTGAAATGTATTTTTACTTTTAATTAAACCTAAAATTAATGCCAAAAATGTTTCGTTTTCAGTTTAACTCTCACTAATTGTCCATGTGAAAAGTCGTTAAATGATCATTTTGGTCAAGGAAAACCTGGAAAAGTCAGGAAGGTTATTTATGCAAAATCTGTAGATACCCCATCTGCCATAGTTGCGTTCAAATTTTGACTAAAATTCGACGAAGCTTGAAGCGCTGGGTGCAGGAAGGACATCTCTTGGTTGCAATGTCTCAGAGTCTCCGTTAACGTTTCATCCATTATAATTAAAGCAAATTGTATGGAATTCGTTTCAACTTTTACTGAATTTTCCTCATGATTTTACAATTCTGAAAACGTAAAATTTCAAAAAATTCACTGAATAGTTTGCTCTCCAAAATGTAAAGCAGCTGTGCAGATTTTAAGATACTGCAACCAAGAAATGCCTTTTCTGCACCCGACGCCTTGACTGCATAAGTTTAATTAATCTCCAAATTTTGCCTGCAATTTCAGATATTACTGGAACTCCAAGATCCAAGAATCTAATTCGATCGTGTGATTATGTAGGCCTAAATATTAAATCCAAAATATTCTCTCCTTGCTAAAATCTCTTTCTGATGTTGGTGCCTTAAGCATTATTCGAATCACGTCATCACTCACGAAGTGCTTGATTTTGACACTTTCAAAGTCGTAAAAGTAATATTCTCCTGTAGATGCTGGCAAGAATGTTGGATTTTTTGTGCGTAGATAAACTGTATTTTTGTTTTCAACTATAATATGAAAATAAAACTATCTTAATAATAATTGTATTTTGTTTGATTTCTGTCATTTACAGGAATTAGCTTCCAGCTTTGTGCACCAAAGGATATTTAGAGTTCAGGAATGTTTGCGTTACATTGTCCTTGGTCTAGTGAATAATCAGTTTCTTTCAACTGAGGCAATGCTTATATTCGCATACGGCGTGACGTCACAAAGCATACCTGCTCTCCTGAAAGGACTGGAACCTGAAACAAACCTCGATGAGAAGGAAAAAATCCTAGCTGAAAGAAGAAATCCAGATTGTTTTATTATCCCTCCAGGTTAGTTATTTTCCTCTCATGCGCCTCTTCTTATATTCGCCCGTTTTTTTATTTTTATTTTTTCCTATTATAACAAATTTCCATCTTTTTAATTTGAATGTTCTAAAGTTATGGGGGGAGGGGGGGGAGGGGGCATGATTGAAAATTAATTTTTTTCCAACTTATCTGTTGTTGTAAAAAAAACTTTCTGCATTGGTTTTTCTTATTATATTATTGGAAGATTTTCCTCACAAAAATTACGTTTTTGGATAAGAACTGATTGAAAGACGGGCCGTGGCCAAGTCTTTTAAACCTAGAGCCTGTAAAAATTGCTAAAATTTGAGAATTAATAAATAAAATTTTAAAATACATATACATACCACTAAATTAGCAGTCAGTCGCATAAATAAAAATAGAGTCAAATCGTAAAATACTACGCAAGCACATAACTAAGTCACTGCCCTGAGCTCAGGAAAGATCTAGTGATATTACGCGTGTGCACGATTACAGTTTTCTGACTTTGGGTGTGAACGTTTTCACTTAGTTGGAGCTGCTATTGTTTTTTTTATTATTATTATTATCATTTTTTTCATTCTCTATCTCTGTCTTTGGAAACGAAACTCATTTGAAGCGCTCATGACCATCATTCAATGCCTCTTTCACAATGCTAAACTATTTCTTCGCTTCTGTTTTCAGCTCCAAAAGAAAGGCCAAAAGTGGAGTCGCATGTTTATGCCAAAACAAACGCCCACATTCTAGTTGAATTTGGTTTGCGGTTATATCACTATCTCCTAAAGAAAGAAAAAGTAAAAGATCCAAGCTATCATCCTCATCTTGATCCACTCGTATCCATCCTTAGTGACTGTTTGAAATCTGGCAAGGTGCGGCTGACCATTCTGGCATGCAATTGTCTATGCTGGGTGCTAAAAATAGACTTACCAGCTCTTCGAGCAAATATCAAAGTTATTGCGCAACAGCTATTTGATCTCCTCCACAAGTATGCAGCAGCAGGATTAAGCAAAGGTGATAACTTTGAGCTAGTCCAGGTGTCATTCAAAGCAATGTCAACCCTAGTCCGTGATGTCAAGTACCACAAAATAACCAAAGCTCAACTTCGTACCCTACTTTTGTACGCCGAACAAGACTTATATGACTACTCGCGGCAAGCTACCGCATTCACCTTGCTCAAAGTCATCATTGGGAAGAAACTCACAGCTCCAGAAATTCATGCAGTGATGGAAAAAGTTGCATCCCTGAGTATCACTGCAGATTTACCTCACGTCAGACTCCAAGCACGGCAAGTTTTCCTTGCTTTTCTGTTGAATTACCCGCTACGGAATAAAATTGAACAACACTTGACATTCTATCTGAAACAGTTGGACTACGAACATCAGACTGGGCGGGAGTCGGCATTAGAAATGATGAACGCAATTATAACAACATTTCCTGATTCAATGCTTGCAGGCTACGCAGGACTTTTTTTCCTATGGCTTGGACCAAGATTGGTCAATGATTCTGCGCCGGAATGTCGTAAAATGGCAGCTGCTTGTATTCAGCGCCTGTTGTCACGCTTGGGAAAAGAGGTTAGTTAATTTATTTATTTCTACTTGTGTCTTTGATAGCAGTTCTGAGTAGGGTCGCGTGAAATTTAAAATTCAAAATTTGACCTTGATATCCATTATTCTATATCAAATCTTCTAAATTTGTTTCTTATCTTCTCAGAAATGAATGCGCCTTGGCTAAATACTGTCATTGCTCAATCATCTTGGGAGCATTTAAGTAATCTTCTGAAAAGTTCTGCGTTTATTACATCTGAGTTTTTATTGAATACTTAAGCAATTTCACTTATCTTTAAGTGGAATCTGTGTTGTCAAAATTTCTGTAATGCAGAAAAATTATTGACGTCCAACATAGAAAGTGTCTTGTTTGAATAAAGTATAGTTCACTCTAATGATCTCAAAAACCTGTAATTTGTAGCAAGTAAGTAAGTAATCATAATCCCATACATTTTTTTCAAAACTCTTCAAGATTTTTCGTCACATGAGCTATTTTTAATTTTGCCGACTAGTTTTATTTTCAATTTCTTACTTATCTTCCAGGAAGGGAACAGTTTTTATTTTCTTTTCTTTTCTTCTTCCGCAGCTTAAACGCAGTCTTTATTCGACGTTATTGCTGAAGATTAGGTTAGAGTTTACAGTTTAAGTTTCTTAGGAACGAAAGTCCGTTGGAGTAGCTGTATAAAGTTGACCAAATTTTTGGTGGGTTAGGAAAGGGCAGTTTTTGTACGAGTAATAGTCCATAATTGTATGTATAATTCTTCCATTATTTTTATCAGGTCGTTGACAAACTCTTTGACATGGTGTTGGTCTGGGTGAAGCATCCAAAAACAATTTACCGACGATTATCAGTCCAGCTCTGCGGGATATTCATCAAGCATGAGAAGAGCGAATTTAAGAGGCGAGTAGAAACATTGTTACCGGTTGTGTGTACGCACCTGATCGGTAATTTTGATGATAATCAACCAGGGAGATTTGTCCGGATTCAAACAAAAGAAGCATTGGAGGAAGCTATGGATGGTGGGGAGGTTTTGAAAGACCATCATCTTTATCAGCTGCTAAATATGTTGGTCAAGCTTTGCGCAGAGTGTCCAGAAGTACTCACGAGTGATGAGTTTAAAGATTCGCTACAAGCTATCAGTGGTAAGTGTTTTGTAATAAGCCTAGCCACTCTGGCAGCTGATTTGAATTTTTTCTGTAGCCTCAATTTTATGCTTGTTAAATACCCACTCATTCAATATCTGCAGATTAGATTTTTCTGTAAAGTAGGCAAAAACCGTATGCGAGGAAGTTGTGAGTCAAGTAGACTGAGAAATTTCTAAGTCAAAGATATTGTAGGCGAAGACATCGCAAGCTGAAAATTTCAGAAGAATATCTCCTGATTTTAGTCGTAAATTTATTTGTTGAAAAAAAAACCCCTTTCTTCAGAATAATAATTTTAAGGAAGTAATTTTTGTTCAAATAGGCAAGGAATTAAGTAGTTTCACGTTTTAAGAAAACCACTCCTTAGAATCCTGTGGCACATCTTTACAGCAATCTAATTAATTTCTGTGCCAATAGAGAGCGCTCTAGTTCATGTTATCAAACTACTGATTACAAACTCTGACACGCTTTTTTTTAGGGATCTTTACTTTTTTTCTGTTTTTCTTCTGGGTTGCTGGCCATTTGGATTTCCTGTTAAGTCAGGAAATTAACGGCAACCTGGAAAAGACAGGGGTGAGCAGCATTCAGCAGAACTTCATTCAAAGAAAATAATCTGAGTGGAAGTTTTTTTAAAAGTCAGGAAAATCAGGGAAAGTCAGGGTATTATACATCAAAGAAACTATGGAAACCCTGTTTAAATTTCTAACTTTCCTGGATCCATGAAGTGTTACAGTGTTATGATGACTAAGGTTGTGTGATGCCAGCTTTCAGCTCTAAAGTAAATTATCTTCTTGTAAACTGCAATTTTTTTTCTCTAAAACATTTCATGAACTATCTTACTTTCATTACCCTATTTCCTCTAATAAATTGAAGTAGAAAATAAAGTTCAAGCTAGTATAGTGAACATATTTTCTAGGTAATAGGATTAGAATCACCCTTTATTTCGCAAAAATGAATCAATCCGTAAAATATAACGCTGCTTTCTGGCAATAAGAATTACTTGATGTCATTGGTGTAATGAAAAAATAACTTCATTTTTTTGTTTTGTAGCAAAAGCTCAAGAGCTTTTGGGTCACCCTCATGAGTGGGTGCGGTTAGGAGCGGCAGAATTTTTGTATTCCATGATGAGCTCCACACCACCAGCCGATATTGCTACCTTGGCCAACATTCCAGTCGCTGAAGCAGAGCTTGCCTCTGGCTTTTTACGCTCCAATGTGCGTGAAAGTTTGAAGTCCCTCATATTGGACCATGTCGATCAACTCCGGCCGGGAGCCCAAATTCTTGACAAATTATTAATTCAGGTAAGGAACAACACTTCTTCTGGGTTTCTAAAAAATAGTAGACCAATTAGTGCAAGGTCTGCACAACTCAAGATCTTAAAGCCATTATCTTAATTCCATTGGTCCCTTTGTTTGTTCCTGTGTTCATTCCTTTTCTATTATGATACTTGACACAGGTTTTTAAAATTCCCCAAATGGTAGTGGGATTCTAAAATTTAGTTCTTGTATTTACAAATGCATATCACGTGTTGATGATGAATTTTTTCATGTGTATTTATTTCGATTGCAGTGTTTCAGAATTTCTGTTCTTAATTTTTTTTTCCGAGAAAATAAGAAAAATCGAGGAATATTAATACACATTCCTGAATTAAAAAATGAATGATTTTCCCACATTAATATGAACTGTGAGAAGAAGTTTGCAATATCGCTGAATGTTAATATTATTGGGTTTTTAACTTCATTATTGATTTTAAGATTACTTTAACCACTATTAGCAGTATTAAAAGTCTACAAATTGTATTACTTAAAGTTTGGTTGTAAAATTAGAGTCATTTGCCTCCAATAGATCACAAAAATCTGATAGAATAGGAGAGAGAAAGAGTGGCTTTTTGGAGTTTTCTTAATAACTTGATTTCTTGTTTGTTCGAGTTATTTTGAGCTGTCTCATTACACTGTTTTTGTGGAGAAAGGATTTTACTTCATTCTTTTTTACATGATCTTGTCAATCTAGCTAGTGACAAGAAAGTTATTTCTGATTTGTTCCACAGTTGTCGTAATTTTCTCCTACATGATAATATCCCCACTAAGTTGAAACACTGGTAAAGTGTCCAATTTTGTTGCCATTGCCCTCTTAATTTTCTTTGCCTTAATCATTTTTTCTTGCTGTTTTTTAGACCATGAAAAATCTAGTATACATAGCTGAAGTTTTAAAAGATGTCCAAGAAATGGAAGGGGAAGTAAAAGTCTCGCTAATTTGGCTGGTCAGGAAACTGAGGCAGCGAATCAATATGGAACTAGCCAGAGCTCCCTTAAACACAACAATCGTAAGTCCTTTCATTTCTGAAGTATTACTTGTTTTAGTTATCACCTCATCCCTTTAATTCTAAGTATAAAACATTAAACTTTTGTTATTTTCTCTCCCTTTGATGTAAAGCATGCTCGAGTTTCTCCAAAAGAAGATAAGAAAAAAATAGACTCATAAAAACTGGTTTTGAATATAAAAAAAGGAAGACCAAAATTATTTTTAGAATACTGAGGAATTGACTTGCTGGGTCTCTCGAAAACAAAAGCATTTTATCCAAAGTCAAAAAAGAACCTGCCCATCAACTTTCAAGATGCAGTGCTTCATTTATAATTATATGACAAGGTTCTTTTTTGAATAGATTCAATTTCTTGGGCTGAAAAGTTTCAAGCCTTTAATCCTATGTATTGCAAAATATGGAAATATTCAGCGTTACATATTCAGTTCTTACACAATTTTGATTCTTGTCTCTCCAGAGGACGATGGTCTTCAATTGGTTTGCGGCCCTAGCCCTCAAATTCACGAAAGATGAGCTGCGTCAGATAATATTTCATGCTCTTGCTCCGATCGTCCGTGAGCTGACTACGACTGAAGCCCACTTGGAAGAGTTGCGTGGCATTGCCAAAGAGGTCTCTGGATATTACAAGCAGAAATTTGGACTTCAAGAGTATTCGCAGTTGGTCCACAAAGTCCAGAATCGGTTAGACATCAAACGTGCTGAGAGAAAGAAATCACGTGCTCAAGAGGTAAAAATCTATTTCATTTTCGATTTTTGTAATTTTTGACGTTTCTAGGCATCAATTACATTAACTTGTTGATATTTTGGTGGTTAAAGTTTTCTACAATAAAAAAGTCAAATTAATGCTCTTGCAGCTTTTCAAACTTTTGCCTCCTGCAATCTTTCTGAAAAGCTTTTTTGAACATCAGAATCAAGTTTGACTAGGGGAAAATGATCTGTGATCCTTTATTGGTTGAAGAGGTGCGTCAAAACCTTTTTCAAGGGAAAGCACGCCAACTCTGTAGCTTGAAATTTTTACAGAATATTCCGCTGACAGAGAACAGAAATCAAGGGAGCTTTTGAGAAATAGTGTTGTCTAATTATCCAAGGAAACAATTAAGTATTACAGGAAGTCTGCTACGTCACAAACGGCAATACACCGTTTTGCTTTTTAGTCATTGGTTTTTGTTGTTATTTAAATTAAGAGCTCTCCAGAATCTATTAGCATATTTTAGATTTCGGTATAAATTATGAGATCTTATTGTCTCAAATCATCAACAATACTGATGATTAAAATAATTTTCAGTGCATTTTCTAGTTAATATCATAGTATTTCCAGTGGCAACACGTGAATGATCGATCATCAATGTTTCTTTATTTGGAGCTATATTAAACAAAGGATTATTAAGGTGTTTGTTGCAAACACCCGGTTAATCAATCTTTTTCCATACGTTTAAATGGCAGATCCATTGATATATTGCAAAGCATGTTACGCCACGCCACTGAGTGTTTCATATTCTTCTAATTTTTCTAATCTTCATCCAGGTCATCAAGAATCCAGAGAAAGCAGCCAAGAGGAAAATCAAGAAACAACTGAGGACCAAAGATCAAAAGAAACGTAAAATAGAGCAATTTAAATCTGGAGATCGCAAAAGGAAGATACAGTCTGTTGAATTTACTGATTAAAGACTCGCTGACTTTAGAACTAATTTTTGGCTGTGATTTTATTAAGTTAACAAGTGCCTAATGATTGAACGAATTCTTCTTGGTTTTGTGGTGTGCATAGATTTGTTTTACATTAATCTTTGTTACGCTGATATGGGAGGAAGCATGTCTTACTATCAAAGAGCTTTCCTTCGCTGTTAAGCTTTTTGATCAAAACGTATGAAAATTTAGGCAGATTTAAGGTTAAAAATAGAATTTAATAATTTTTCTTTTAAACTGTTCAACTACAGTAACCTAACAGGGCATTGAGACGGCGAATCTTCTTTTGAATTTTAAAAGTTTGTTTCATTAAATTTAGCTCCAGTGTACTCGGGAATATTTGTCTTAAAAAAAGAATGCTGACTTAGCAGTTTCCTAATTAGTTGTATTCTGTTGCAAGTTTTATGAGTTTTTCAAAAAGTTATATAACTGCGTAATATTTACGCACTTAATTTTAAAAATCATTCAAGCATGACCTTGATGGTTTTTAAAAAACATAACACTGTATTCCTCTGTTTTCTTTTGTCTGGATTACCTGAGTACATATCGTATGCTTGATACAAAGATATTCAGGTCATCAATTTTTTATAGCTAACTCTAAAGGCCCCCGCCATTTTGATAATAAGTCAAACAGCGGACATATTACACAGGGTGTAAGGGAGATAGAGAGCTGAAAAAAGGGAGAAGTGGGGGAAAAGCTTACCCCATGTTTCTGAAAAAATCACGAAAAAGACCAGAACTTTTTCCTCTAGTCTGATTTTCCATATATCATGTCATTATTTTCATCCCTCAAAAAGAGGCCCCAAAAAATTTAATTTTCAAGAGTGAAATGGAGAACTTTGAGGTCAAGTTCGAGACTCTCTGTAGTAATGGTTCCTTCGCACATATCTGTTGCTAAAGGATCAATCCTAAAATCAAGAGATTTTTTTATTGTTTGTAGGAAAATTCAGTTAAAGTTGGCGATGCATAATTTCAAAACAAGCTCTTAGTAAAATCAGTGCACAGTAATTTTATGATGAAAAAGAAGGAGTAAAATTGATAATGTTTTATTACTCTCATATATATACAACAAACAAATAACATACGGTAATATCTACAATATCATGAAATATCGAAAGAATAGTAAGAAACTAGGTTGTGCTTTTCAAAGCCAAGGCAAAGAAATGAAACGAGAAACAGCTACAAACTAACCTGAGCTATTGAAGGTGGTTTCAGACTAAAATGACAAGCAGTTGAGAGAAGTGGGCAACTCAAGGCCCTTTAAAGGATAGATGACAACAAGATAGAATATGAATTATACACTTTTACTGTTACTAGATATCCTGTTGTAACGTCAACAAGATAAGAATCTCATGAAATTTTCCTTCTTAAATTGATCCTTTGAATTTTAGGAATACCCACGAAATGGATTTTCATGAACCTAAGGCCAGCGGTCAATGACCTGCTAAATCTTGCGATCTTTCAGCTCATTGAAAGCCAAAATTGTCCACTAGAGATAGAAATATTTCCCCATTTTATGTCATTACTTTATTTTGATATTGTAAAATTGTGTTTATTGTTTGCATTTTCCTCTCTATTTCAAAAGCAAGAAACTGAAAAAGTCGGCATAATTCTAGGCAAATGCAGCATACTCTTTGCACAGCAATGATCTTTTTCTCAAAGATCAAACTGCTCAAGAAAGATGATATGGAAATTTTTTGTACAGGAGAAAATTGACCTCCCTTTAAACCTAAAACTTAACTTCCAAGGAATTTCATCTTGTGTCCTTGTTTTAATTATTTTTTCACGTATATTTTTCACTTTTTTTTCGCTCTAGTTATGGATTTCAAAAATGATCATCTGTGATTTCTCTAAGTTTAGGTGTTAACTGTGGCAAGAAGTTCCTCATTGCTTTTAAAGATGAGTGCTTTCTTTATTCTCCCAGTATTTTAACTTCAAATGCTTTGAAGATTCCATATTTTCGGGAAATTATTTAATATCTTGTAAATGTGTTCTTTTTATTTTTTAATTTTTTACGCACTTACATTAGGAGACAAAAACTTCTGGTCACAGTGACTAGGTTCAAAGTTGTAACCAGGTTCGAAGTTGAATTTTGCAAAGGCCTAAATTTTCTACTTATGTACATAATTGTGAAGACTGAAGAGGCAAATTTATGTACAGATGTATAATATCTATATTGACTAGATGTAGCAACAGATTTAAAAATACGAAGTAGGTACTTAAATTTATGCTTTATCTTCTTTGGAGACAAAGTAACTGTTTCAGAAAATAACATCAAAACAAATTTATCACATTTTGCAATTAAGAACTACTATTTCTGCTCATTTAAGAAACAAATTATGTTCCATTCGTTTCCCTATGCAGATACGTGTTTTTATACATGATCCAAAAATAGTAGCTCCTTATTGCAAAACGAGGTTCAACTTAGTACATTATATAAGATACCCATACAATGAAAGTAATCGTTTAGCCTTCAGATATAAAATAAAATGAGTACAGGTAATCTCAACAATTGTCTAAAGGTAATATAAAGCTTAAGTAATTTGTTCAGCTTACAAAGAAATAACAAATTGGTTTAGAAAACAGATGCCTTTTTAAAAATAAATTACATCTCTAAAAAACAAACATGTTATAGCACGTAAGTGCTCTTTGTCTGTATAATCATCGTTTAACTAATAATTTCTAAAGGTTTTCATTGCAAACGTTCATTGTCAGTCATGGGCAAAATTTGCTTCCATTTATGTAAAAAAGTATTTTCTAAATGAGTATAATAGTGATCATGTTAAATTAAATTGCTTTTCAATTGATTAAAAGCGTCAGAACAATTGCAATGATCCTCTTGTTCTGTTTCGTATGTTGCTATTCGTAAGTTTTTGTTAATGAATGTGATTCTTTACCTTTTGTTAGTTAAATAAAATCCATTCTCAATGAATTTCTTGGTGCTTTCCCTCCCTGTCAACACATCTACACTGAAGGCTTCCTGTGAATAATTCACCTTTTATCCAATTAAGAATGCATACTGTATCAGAACCTTACATAGGTACATAATTTATAACGAATAAACAACACCATAAAATTTTCCAAAAATTAAAATTAAGAAGAAACAAATCTATTTGGCATTAAAAAGAGGAAAATGTGTGTTCTGATCTGTGTTCCCAGGTGTGTACAAGAACGAACTACATACATCAAAAGAAAAAATAATCAATAGAGTGAGTATATTCCTCTCTCGATCATTCTTTCCATAATTTTAACTAAGGTAGTTTTTAAAAAAAAAGGAATTCTCATCTGAGGTGTGCTTTCGTGAACATGCAAACATGTACACTGCATTCGTAAACGGGCGTGCGGAAATTTTAAGGTAGGGAAAGCTTTTCCCTGTATAATTGAAATTCATGTAATGCCCGTTCAGAACAGGAATTTCTGCAAGCCTGGGAACACTGGTTCTGATCCACATCAGGTATGTTTCCTGCCTCAGAGGCTCCACTTGAAAAAGCAAGGAGGCTGCGTTTCATCAGTCATTTTTAAATTAACTGCGGCCTAAGCCCCCTCATGAATTATATCGAAAAATAACTACCACCAGGAATACAATAAGAACACTGTAAGCTGCATTAAAATTTCCTCGAAGCCCTCGGACCCATAGGTGTCACACTTTTGCATAGAGAAAGTGTGGAGGAAGGAAAGCCTTGAGGAGGAGGAAGACCAAGAACCTACTCAAGGAGCAAAAGTTTCAGATGCCCTATACGTCAAAGTAACATCTCTCGAGAGAGGGTCTTCCATTATTTTCCTGTGCGGTCCTCCCCAAGTAGCATTTTTCAACGGAAAAATCGCGATTTGTTGCGATTTTGTCGGCGATAAAATCGCTAAGATCATCAACATCTGAGAGATTATCCTCGATCTTGTTGCAATAAAATCGCGATTTTATCGCCCGGCAATTTATCGTGATATTATCGCAACAAAAATCGCGATATAGAGCGATTTAATCTCGATTCTATCGACGAAAATTGATCGCAATTTCATTCAACAAAAAATTGCGATGCATAGCGATTTAATCGCCATAAACCGCAATTTTTTATTCGATAATATTGCGATAAATTGCCACCGATATAATCGTGATAATCAACCGGTAAAATAGCTATTTATCGCGATCACTGCTACTTGGGTCAGTGTTCTTGAATTGAAAATTGGACGGAGTTAAACAGAAAGGAACCAAGCCACATCGGGATCAGACCGAGAAAAAGAGGTTTAAAGTTTGGCTCCTGCATAAGATTCAACGTAAAAGATAAACTTCAAGTTCAATTTCTGCAAAATTTGCTCCAACAAAAACTTTGAATTTTTGGCGATAGATAGGAGAGCAGTGGTTGAGTTCAAAACCACTCATAACTCAATTTTTTCCAAAATGCGGGTTGGTTCCTTTCTGCTTAACTCAGTCCAATTAATATGGCTGTTTGAAATGAGCATGAAAATTCTAGAGACGATGTCGATGAGTATTTATGCGTTGGACTCTTTTAAGTCTTGGAGTTGGGCCAGTTGATGGGGCTCTAACTCATCTGGGATCTCTCCTGACTGGAAGGAAGTGGGCACCGCTTTCAGTTCCGGCTGTGCTTGGGTTGTGGGTGCCGGGTAGGCTTGCGAGTTCTCCGCTGTGCTCGGCCCCGTGTCCTCCTCGCTCCCAGTGCTACTGCTCAGTGGAAACGGAGTTGGCTCTCGGGTGATACCTGATACATATTTCCAACAGATTCAAATTAATTTCAGCTGAACCGTGGTTACGAACCGTAACCTGAAACCATCCCAAATAGGACAGTGCAATGAAAATCTTGGAACAAAATTGCGATTAATTGCTATGAAGTTGAATTTTTTCATAACCATAAAATAGCAATACCCAGGTCAGGGCCGGATTCACCTATACTACTTGCCGCCCATGGGCCGCCTGTATTTTGCCGCCCCCTTCTCATTCGTTTTGAAACATCGATAAAAACCATCAAACGAACGTGCCAGCGGGGGAGGGGTGCAGGTGCATAAGACGCGTTTACTTGTGTTGAACACATTCTTTGGGAAAGCCCTGTCAACACTACTAGCAAAAGTTCACGAAACTTTGCGCGAAAGTTGAGTCTCGTAAACCTATCTCTGTGTGGACAAGGCCTTCCATTCATAAGAAATGAACGAAAAAATTATGAAAGCACAAACATAAATGTGGATTAATGATTTTAACTCCCGCCGCCGCGCCGCGCAGACCGCACCGTGTTTGGCGCAATGCGTGAAGTATTCCGACAGTCTTGTAGGCGCTATGAGTTTCACGCCGACCGCTGCTGAACGCACTGTGTTTGACGCAATGCGTGAAGTATTCACGCAGTCTTGTAGGCGCTATGCGTTTCACGCTGATCGCACTGTGTTTGCCGCAATGCTTGAAGTATTTGTGCAGTCATGTAGGGGCTAATATGTATTACATGCCGATCGCCGCGCCGAAGGGAGGGCTTCTCCTTTTCATCTCAAGTCCTCGTCATCGTTTCTCTCTAAGTCGCGCCGTTCCAGGCCAAATTGCGTGTTTGGTTTCTCTCTTAACTCGACTAATTAAAAGTGCTGTCTCTTGTATCACTGAAAGACGACAAAAGTAGAAATTACTGCACTCTCAGAAAATTAGAGATTTTGTCGCCTTTTCTCGTTTGTATTTTTTTTTTCAAAATTCGGATTTTCTATGCCTACATTTAAAAAAAATTCAAAATTTGCCGCCCCCTATAGAATTGCCGCCATGGGCCGCGGCCCATGTGGTGGCCACACCCTTAATCCGACCCTGACCCAGGTAAGCTATAGACATAGCTATGCATATAGCTCTAGATGTAGCTGTAGACATAGTTATAGACATATCTTTAGAGATGGCTAATAGCTATAGAAATAATGAGACAAATGAAGCAAAAAAACGGACTGAAGCTTTTACCTTCGGCGGGGGGCTCGTCGAGTCCCTCCTTGGCGGCGGCGTTCTCCAGTTCCTCGTCGCCCTCCTCCCGGGTGGGCGAAGGGGTAGCGGCGGCGGTGGGCGGGGGTGGAGGCGGCGGTTGGGCGGGCGGCGACGGAGGCGGCGGCGGGAAAGGCGTCCCCGCCTCCTCCATCATCGGCGTCGCGGCCGTGATGACGATCTGCGCTACGCCCAGACCTCCGCCGCTGTCCGCGCTGCTCGTGCTTTGCCTCGTCTTGGACTTCTTCGGTGCCGCCTCCGCGGGCGCGACCTCCACCGGCTCCTGAAAAATTAACCGGATTTTACTGAGACGCCTTCAGACGTTGCCACATTTCCTTCAACAGGGTGTCTAGCATCAGGAAAAACCGGAATATATCAGGAATTTTGGCCGATCAGGAAAAAATCAGGGAAATATCAGGAAAATCGGAAAAATCGGACGTTTTATCGTGAATTTTACTTACGCGAATCTCCTCAGCGAAGAAAGTCTTACTGCTTCTTGCCTACCGTGCCAGGAGTCGAGGAAAATCAGGAATTTTCAAAATGAAAAAATACTAGACACCCTGTTCAATAACAACCGAATTCACTGGAAAAATTGTAAATATTTTCCTATCAATTTTTCAGGCAATTTTGTTTTTTGCAATTTGATCGCAAATATCACTGGAGATTTTCAGGAAATATAAGTAAGCACGATTTCCCTCAAAAACGCATGTTTTCTTATACTGTAAAAAAAAAAAAACACTTTGGATCTAGAGTCCAGACTCTTAAAAACATCGACAAGAAAAAGTACTCTTGATTCAATCAGAATCTAGCTTAAATCAAGAACCAAGCCTCTTAATTTTAGCGGATTCCCTTTTGATTTAAGCTTAAATCTGATTAAATCAAGAGTATTTTTTCTTGTCAATGTTTCCAAGAATCTGGACTCAAGATCCAATGTGTTTTTTTTTTTTTCCAGTGCGTATATTAATTAAGCGGATTTTTACTGCCGTGCTAAGGAAAAACCCTGTATGAGCCTTCAGGCTTGCCACATCTCCTTCAATAAAAATAACCATCACCCCAAACCCACCCATCTCTACCCAATAAACCCAAACCCAATAAAATCGCTAACCAAATATTAACATATATGTGATTTATAAAGAACTTAAACTTAATGAGTAAGGTAATATTTATAGCTCAAAACGCTAAAATATTAAAAACTACAGAAAAAGGAATAGTAATCAATCAAGTAAGCTTATTAATTAATCTTATTTATAAAAGAACACACCTGCTGTTTAAAACAAACCAAATTCATTTGAACACTACAATTTTAATCATAGTTATTTTTATAATAATTTTTATTTGTTTTAATAGCTTAAATTTATAAAGCATAATACTGAAGCTATTAAGATAATTAAAAATTTTGATTATAATAAAGACAAAGATAATTAGTTTAATCATTTTATCAGTGTAATTGATATACTTTTATTTAGTTATTTGTCTTGTTAAAGATTAGATCTTTTTAAACAGATTGGATCTTTTGATAATTTGGTCCAGTGAATTCGGATTCACTGGAAAATTTTAAATATTTTTCTTTCAATTTTCAGACAATTTTGTTTGCAATATGATCCCAAATATCTGGAAACTTTAAGAAAAATGAGCGCAATTTTTCTCAAAAACACATGTTATATCCGGAGAAATTTGGCAACTTTCGAATGTTCATACGGCGATCTTCCTCAGCGCCACAGTTTAGTCGTGATGGATGGAGCTCTTGCGTTGAATGGCAAAGCCAAAAGGCCGGCCCTCGGGGTCTAAATCTCCTTTTCCTCGTGACCGCAGAAGTCTCCTCCATAAAAGTCGTTTTTCGTGATATTTGGGAATTTTTTACTGCCCTTGTGGGGAACTTTTGACCGTATGAACCCCCGTGATATTTGGGAATTTTTTACTGCCCTTGTGGGGAACTTTTGACCGTATGAACCCCCCCCCCCCCCCCCCACGATGTAAAATGTCTACCTACGCCGTTAATTGCGCATGCAACTGGGATTAGCACGGAGGATAGCAATTTAAAATTGCTCTAATTTTCTGCCGAACGGAAAAAAATGGAGAAAAAAGTTCGTGGATAATATTACATCCTGCATGTATATTAGCTCTATTCTTTATATTCTTGCGTTCGAGTCTCCAGCAATACAGCTGGTATTGCAAAGTTTCTGCAAAAATGTCACGTGTATTCATGTATTACGAGAGCAGATGAATCAGATGAAGAAAAATGTATTTGTTTGTTCGGAAGTTTGAAGAGTCTTACCTCTATTGCTTTGCTGCTATCGTCACATTCATCATCTGGAAAAAAGCAAAGAGACGTTGCTGTGATGATAAAATCTTAGAGGATTCTAGTAATTAGACAATGTATTATACTACCAAAAATTTTGAAATAATGGGCTTATCCTACGTAGTTTTAGGTATATTATTAGTTGCGCTTGGTCTTGAGACTCGCCGCACAGTGGATCGAGTCAATTAGAGAGATCAGGCATGAAGTTGTTGACTAAAACTGCAAATTTTGATATTAATTTCGTCATATTTTGAAGTTTAAGAGATGCTTTGAGAAGAACATTTCACGAGGAAACCAATGGAACCACTTTTAGGACCTCAAAGTTTCGTAAAAGCGGAGTTAAATTAAATAGTGCTGTACTAAAACAGCACTTAAATATATTAAATCTATATATGTATGTATAGAAAATATTTAATAACGTAACGATAAATCGATCTGTGACGAAAAATGAGCGTGTAGGCGGTAGGCTCAATAGAAAGTTCATCCGTAACTAAACCTACTCACCGGCAACGACAGCTATCTGAACCGGTGGGGGTGGCGGCATACTCGGTGGCGGCATACTCGGTGGTGGCATACTTGGCGGTGGCATACTTGGCGGTGGCATACTAGGTGGTGGCATACTGGGAGGAGGCCCGGACTCCCCATCATAATCCTCGTCGAACTGCGAATCGTATTGATCCTGCTGACCCCGTGTCAGCTCCATCGCGAAGCCCTCGGACTCTTCTCCCGGCGCCCCTTCCTTTGATCCGCCTGCTGATGAAAAAAAGGAATGAAAATGTAAACATTTTTTTAAAAAATAAAACACTCTGCAACAGTGTTCGAAACTCACAGGCGCCAACGCGCCAAATGCACCTAAAAAATTGGCCATGGCGCCTAAAAAATGAAGGCTCTGCGCCAACGTGGCCCCTAAAAATTGCCCCCTAAAAATCTGAATTAACATATTTGGTGATTATTCGAAATTTTCAGCACCACAAGTGAAAGCTTCTTCTATTCTTCACGATTTTACCCTTTGTGCTTTTGTCTTCCCCAAGTTACAGCTACTTACTAGTTCTGTTACGAAAACATCTTGCATTTAACTTTTCACTAATGCGCCGTAATATATGGGCAAAAAGTCAATCTGGCCCTTAAAAAATCATCAATGGCACCTAAAAACATTGCTCCAGGGAACAAATCACATTTGAATTTAAATACACGCAATTTAATGTACGCAAACATTTCAAAATCATGAGTTGAAAAATGCTGACTCCACAATTTGAAATATTGAACACTAACACAGAGAGGAGCGGCGTGCTACCAGCGGGAAACGCGCACTGGCGCCTACAAACCTAAGGGGATACGTCAAGCTTTGCGCAATGCGTGAAGTATCCCCTTAGGTTTGTAGGCGCCAGTGCGCGTTTCGCGCTGGCCAGTCGGCCGCCGAGCCACGGTGCCATGAGTGACGGACTTTTGACATCATTAAGTGGGAGAACTCGGAATAAAAAAGTTTCGAATCCCAGAACTTTTATAATTCCGCCTTACTCGCCAGGTTGCGAAAAATGACTTAATTGACAAAGAGGATGAAGCAAGGGCTTACCGGGTGGCTCCGGAAATTCGTGGATGGGCGTTGGTTGGGTGACCATGGTCTGCGGAGCGAGTAAGAAAGACGGGACATCCGGTGGTGTGAACACAGGCGGCGCGGATCCAGGTGGAGTATCCTCTCCCTGAAAATCATGATCATACCTTTTTCAAAAGAAGGGTTGAAGAAATGCAGAGACTACATTGGCAGAAAACTGCCTAGTAACGCTTGTAAAAACATTCTAACACTCAATTTGATAAAGCAACCTGTTAATTGCAACAAGACTTTCAAACAGGACTTTCGTACTTGTCATTTGATGAGAACGCAAAGCGCCTTCAATTACATCGATAGGCAACCCGGGCATCCATTGAGCTGAAATACTGCCGTGCTAAGGAAAAACGCCTTATGAACATTCGAGATTTGTCACATTTCCTCCAATAAAACATGTGATTTTGAGGAAAGTCATGCATATTTTTCCTTTACATTTTCAGATATTTTAGATTAAATTGTGAACAATATTTTTTTGAAAAATTTGACGACAAATGTTCACGATTTTCTGAAGAAATTCGTTTTTTATTGAAGGAAATATGGCAACACCTACATACTCATACGGCGTTTATCCTTAGCACGGCAGAATAGCTGCATGCAATGGTTGACAAAAAGTTGATCGACAAAAATTAAAATTCGATCAATTCATGGTTGTTGGTTGGCTCACATTTTTATCTCTCGATCGATTGATGTCGATCGCATTGACACTGTATTTTTTCAGCCACAAGCGGTGGCCGAGTCGTCTGATGCATCGGATGCTCCCGCATGGAGTCTCGGGCCACGGGTTCGATTCCTGAATTCCTGACCCTTCAACTATGGCCTGACAATCATATTTCGTTGTTTTACTGCAATGGTTCTTTAATCGATCACAGATGAATGCATCCTTTTGATTTCATATTTTTTTTCGTTATTTAACACAAACAAAAATTTTTTTCTTCTAAAAAGCAACATATTGTAACTTTTTACGAAAAAAGAACCAACATTAATAAGAAGCTAAAGAATAAGAAGCTTGATGGCGCAGAGCGCCTTCAGTGGGTTGGGCTGGCGCATTCCGTTTAATACTTACAGAGTTTCTACTCAAGCAGGCTGGCCGAAAATCAGTACTTTTTCAGTACATTCCCAAGAAATTCAGTACCCTCCTCAACAGAAAAATCCAGCACTTTTTCAGTGCCTTCATTTGACGAAACACGAAAAATTTCAAAAATGGAGATGTTGCATGTGTGAAAAAGCGATTTGACTATTGATTCTTATGTAAAAGTTTGCAAGAAACACGATGGTGCCACTGGTTTTCTCTGAAATGAACTCCCAAGCTCAAAAAAAGCTCTCAAGTTGAGGCGTAAATAGAGGAGATATCCCACAGTATCCTGAGAGTCCACCTCCACAACAAGACAAACTCTCCAAGCAAGGATAGGGAGCAAATACATTAGCAGGGTTGCCGTGTTTTCAGTTTTGGAGTCCCCAAATAAAGTGGCAGCCCTGCTAATGTATTTGCTCCCTATCTTTGCATGGAGAGTTTATCTTGATGTAGAGGTGGACTCTCAGGATAGCGTGGGATATCCCCTCCATTTTGGCCTCAACTCGAGAGCTTTTTTTGAGCTTGGGAGTTGATTTCAGAGAAAACCAGTGGCACCATCGTGTTTCTAGCGAACTTTTACATAAGAATCAACAGTCAAATCGCAAATTCCTCACACATGCAACATCTCCATTTGAATTCCTCCCTCAAATTTCGACAAAGATGACAAAAATTCCGGACCTTCCTGCGGAATTTCCGCACTTTTTCAGTATTTCCAGACCGCCCGCAAAAAATCAGTACTATTTCCGGACTTGTAGACACCCTGACTTACCTCAGGCGTAAGGGGTTCGCCGTTCTCTCGACACTCTTCGACGACGAGGGAGGGGAAGAGACCCTTGACGCCGTCCACCTCGCCCTCCCACCAGCCGTCGTCCACGTTGTCGTGGATGATCTTGCGCAGGATCTTGATGATCTGCCCCTCGCCAAAGGAGATCTCTTCCGGACACGTCGCCTCGTAATCGTACAGGGCCACGCACCACGTGCCTCCGGATATGTCTACAACACAACCATGAAATCAGCCGATTGATTTTTTTTTATTTTATTTTTTTTTCCTTCTTTTTTTTTGGTACATAAAGAAGCTGCGTTTTAGCTTATGGTACGTGTCAAATGTGATTTGTACCTCAAAAAACATAATTTCAACACATGTCAACCAAAAAATAAAAAATGTGTTAGTTTTCAATGCTGAGTATTTAACAGCTATATTCAGAAATTTCTCAGAAACAATCTATTATCTGACATCTTAATAATTGACTATCACCTAGAAATTCATTTATAGACATACGCAATTTAATGTACGCAAACATTTCAAAATCATGAGTTAAAAAATGCTGACTCCACGAGTTTAAATATTGTATATTATCACAGAGCGGAGCGGCCGGCGTGCTACTAGCGGGAAACTCGTACTGGCGCCTACGAACCTAAGGGGATACGTCAAGCATTGCGCAATGCATGAAGTATTCCCTTAGGTTTGTAGGCGCCAGTGCTCGTTCCGCGCTGGCCGGCCGGCCGCTGAGCCGAGCCACGCCACGGTGCCATTAAGTGACGGACTTTTGACTGTCATTAAGTGGGAGAACTCGGAATAAAAAAGTTTCGAATCCCGGAACTTTTATAATTCCCGAGATGTTCCGCATCTTTTGCCTTTTCCATAACTTTTGAGAAAATCTAAAAGAAATCTCGGAACTTGTATAATTCCCAAATTATTCCGGATCCTTTGTATTTTCCGTAACTTTCTCGGGACTTTTGAACAAAATCTAAAAGGAATCCCAGAACTTTTGAAATTTTTCTGGATTTCTCCCGAAACTTACATAATTCCCGAAATGTTCCGGATCTTTTGCATTTTCCGGAACTTTCCCGGCACTTTGGAGCTAAATTTAAAAGGCATCCCAGAACTTATATAATTCCCAAAATATTCCGTATCTTTTGCATTTTCCGGAACTTTTCCGGCTCTTTTGAACAAAATCTAAAAGGAATCCCAGAACTATTGACGGACATGGAATGAGAGCAACGTGACTGACCTATGTTTGCGGGGCGGTGTGCCTCGCGGGTGGTGACGGTGGTGGCGGCGCTCTGCTCGGACTCGGGTTCCTGTTCGGCGTCGGCGTCGGCGTCGGCGTCGGCGTCGGGGTCCTGCTCGTCGATGGTGTAGTCGACCGAGGAGAAGGAGATCTGCGTCTGGAGCTGCGGCCCGGCCAGGCCCGTCGCCGGCTGCCACTCCACGTCCAGGTAGTTGTGCGGCACGAAGCCCTCCTCGCCGCGGTAGTTCCGCGCCCGCAGCCACCCGTCCCCGTCCCCCTCGCCCACCACCTCCAGCTGCTCGTTCTCGATTATCGAGAGCTCGTCCGGGTTCTGCGCCTGTAACCGTCCGCAATGTACGGATGTTAACCTCTTACATAGTAAAGTTTTAGTGAAAAGGTTACAAACAGAGACAAGAGACCCTCCACTATCTTGGCCATGGTGGAAGCTTTTACTTTCGGGACTTCAGCATATTCTACTGTTGACTTACCTACATGGATGATGTTTAACAACGTGTTGGCAGTTTCGTTTCGCAAACAAGCCGAAAATGGCCGAAGTTTAAGAAACTTGTTTGGCTCATGACGTCACCCGAAGCTCATCATCGACCATGTAGGTAGGTCCACAGCCGAAATTAGGGTGATAACTGTTGCTCCCATATAATTGTCCATAAGGAACTGTTGAATCCCCGAAAGTAAAAGCTTCCACCTGTCGCCAAGAGGCCAGTGGAGGGTCTCTTGTCTCTGGTTACAAAGGTGCACCAAAAAAAAGGTGCTGTAATAACACTACAAATGTTTAAAAAAATGTGCGACAACTCTTGGATGTTATCATTAACACTCTGTTGTAAAGTGTTAACACACTGTTGTAAAGTCCTATTGTTAACATCCTAGGATGTTACTTTTACATCCTAAAGTGCTGCTTTAACACCAGAGTGTTAATGACAACATCCAAGAGTTCTTGCACAATTTTTTAACATCTTTTTTTTTTCGGTGTGGGAGACCTTTGAACTCGTATTAAGATTTACATTGTAAGTGGAAATCTGTGAGGTGTGAATGAGAGTGTGGATGAAGTGCGAAAGAAAGGATGTTCAGTAATTAAATTAGTAACTTATGTGTTTTAAAATTTCTAAAAGAAGACAGAGAATTTTACAATTCCTCTTTTTAGATAATGATTATCTATCGTTACTTTGGATATTTGGTGAGATATTGATGTTGATGAAATTTGGATATTTGATTCATTTAGTTTATTTAAATCACGTAGAAAGATGCAAGACGTAATCTTGTAGCAGTTACGTTTTACGTAAATACAATTTCTTTTAGATATTAGATGCCGAGTTGAAAAAGTTGAGTTTGTTTTTCGGTCGATTCATGCCCATTGAATCCACACTCTCCACCGTTGAATGACGACAGGAACCAACACCTAAGATCATGCTAAAAATCGATGGAAAAAAGGTAAACTTACGGTGTAGGAGTAGAGTGCTATACATTTGTAAACACTTCCTGGTTCCACCTGAGGCATAGGATACGTCTCTGTGTCGGCAACGTCTGCGGTGTCAGTGTCTCCCCAATCTACTTTCGTTGGATCATCCCAACCTGCCGTTAGTTGCTCTATCCTTTGCCGCTCCTGTTCTAACATGGCTGTCAACACACCAACAACAGTTAAAATCGTTACCAGATATTTTTTTTTTTCTATGGTTAAATTAATTTTAAGAGCAATTTCAATTCATTTGACAGCCTCAAAAAAGATCGACATTATTACAATAGAATGAAGTTCTATTGTAATAATGTCGATCTTTTTTGAGGCTGTCAAATGAATTGAAATTGCTCTTAAAATTAATTTAACCATTACAAAGAAGAAAAGAATTAAAAATTCTTTGGTTGCTCTTTTAAAAATTGTAATGATTGAAGAACGGGGCAGTTGCGCTGGTCACAGAATCGTGTTTTTGATGTTTGATTCTTGTGGATCAGCAAAAAATAATAAAATCTATAAAAACGGCAACTTACTGCGTTCGATATGAACCGAGATATCGCGCTTTGAAAAGTCGGGTTTTTGACGTCATCCACCGCGGTAGTGACACTTTTGGTTTCTTCCACCTTGTTTCCATCCGAGTTTCACGCTGAGTAACTGGTACAAATGTGCGTCACACTGACTGATGGAAGCACTGTGGAAGAAACCAAGGGTGACACTACCGCGGCGGATGACGTCATGAACCGAACTTTTCAAAGAGCGATATCTCGGTTAATATTGAACGTAGAAAGTTACTGTTTGGGTTGATCTCATTATTTTATCTGATCTACCAGAATCAAACGTCAAAATATAATTCTGTGACCAGCGCAACTGACCGATTCATAAATAGTCGTTTCCCGGACCTAGGAACGTTACTTGTTAGGTTGCAAAATTGACCCAAAGAATTCGTTTTTAGGTACATCCTAGTATACAAGACGAGGATGTACCTGTGCCATTTTTGTCCAAATTTTGGCTAATTTGAGCCAAAATAAGTGAAATTTGCAGTTGGTAATTCTGAAGATTTACATAGTAAAATGCAAATTACAAGGGACAATTTGGCAACATTGAAAATTGGACCGAGTTTATCAGAAAGGAACCAACCCACATTATGTTGAAACTGAGAAAAAAAGGTTTGAAGTTGAATTCCTGCACACGGAGAAAAAAACTTCGCGCATGGGACCCGAAGTTGAGGTCATATGGATCTCTGAAGTTTTCTGATCACGCATCCGAAAACGTGAGGTCGAGCTGCCGAAGTTCGGGTCAGACATCGACGTACTTCGGTATGTACCGGAGTACCTCAGATAAATGACCCGAACCCTTCGGTATATATCCAAGTACTTCAGATGTCTGACCCGAACTTCGGCAGCTGGACTTCAAGTTTTTAGATACGTGATCCGAAAAATTCAGAGATCCATATGATCTCAACTTCGGGTCCCACGCACGAAGTTTTTCTCTCCGTGCATGGCTCAATGTAGAAAAAGAACTTCAACCCCTCTTTTCACAAACTAATTTCTGTTTTTCAGCTTTCAATTTTTGACAGGAGAAAATATACGGCTAGCGGAACTCGAAAATATTCTTAAATCAATTTTTTTAAAAAATGTGGGTTGTATCCTTTCTGATAAACTCGGTCCAATTAGGCACGTTCTTTCGTGAGGATAACGACAAAATGCACCACCATAATTCGTCACCTTCCAGGCAAAGTATCACAAGCGCCATGCGACGTTTAAAAATTTCCGCCGCCATTATATTTTTTTACAGAGAAATTGTTCAACGAAGTTGTCCGAAAATTACACCGAATTTTCTTTGTGCTGTCGATAAAATTTAGTGAAATTTTCGAACAAATTCAACCAACAATTTCTCGGTAAAAAAATAAAATGGCGGAAATATTTAAACGTCGCATGGCGCTTGTGATACTTTGCCTGGAAGGTGACCATATGTAGAACTCGAATGTTCATACGGCGTTTTTCCTGAGCACTGCGGATTTGGAATGGGCCCTGGCGGCATGAAATTTTGATGAAGGAAATGCGATCGATAGCCGGGAAATCGGGGATCGGGATGTAATTCATTTAATGACGTACCCCATTCGCCGTCAACTTCACCGGAGTCGGGCCTTTCATGGTCCTCCTCACTCGTCTCTCTCTCCTTCCCGGGCGGGTGCAGCGGGATGTGCTCCGTTTCTGCGTCTGTGTAGTCACTATCGTACATCGAATCCGAGCCGCCTGCTTCCTGTTCCACACAAAAAAAAGACACGAGGAATATTATCTAGAACATCGATTAAGTAGAACAGTCGAAGATTAAACGAGTTTGACCTCCGAGGGCCTAAAATTGCATCATGTTACTTTCAAGGCGCAATAATGACCATCATATTTTTCAATACCTTCATCAGCAAAGCAAACACTTTAATTTAAGGATCGAACAGTCGAGGAGATAGCTATTATAACCTCCAGATGCGTAAAATTGTATCGCGTTATTTTGAAGGCGCATAGTGACCGTCATCGTTTTCAACATATCAGTGGCAAAGTAGACGCTTTCTAAAACATTGATTGAGTTGAACGAACGATTGAAGAGGCAACTATTTTTACTTCAGAGTGCCTCAAATTGTATCGCTTTAATTTGAAGGTGCATTTTTAACAATCATCTTTTTCAACGTGGCAGCGAAGCGAACGCTATTACGCGATATTTGTTTAAGGAACGGATGTTCGAGGAGACAAATATTTAAACTCCCAAATGCCTAAAATTGCATCGCACGATTTTGAAGGTACAATATGATCATCACCATATCAGTGGCAGATGCTTTTTTAGGACATTGATTTTGTAAAAGAACGTTCAAAGGCATGACTATTTTTACTTCCAAATGTCTAAAGTTGTATCGCGTTATTTTGAAGGCGCAATAATGACCATCATCTTTTTTAGTGGGAAAGCAAACGCTTTTCCAGAAAATTGCGATTGTAGGAGCGAACTGCGGTTCAGGAGATATTTGTTTCAGCACAGTGCCTGAAATTACACATCGTGATTTTGAAGACGCAACAATGAACAGCGTAAATTTCACCGTTCCTTAAGGACGCATTTCTCAAAGAGAAAATATCAAAGGTGCTAACTAATTAAACTTTAAATTGCCTTTACAATTGTATCGTGATCTTTAGACGGCAAATGTATATGTATAAGATCAAATAACTTAAGAGGGTAAAAACTTCTAATTTGCATTACTGGTTTCGTCAAGGAGATTTTACTTCAATCGCGGTGAATGAATCGAACATTTCTAAAGGGAAAAGAATAAGATACTAAATTAGGGCGGTTTCTGGTGGCAAATTAAAATTTTAAACTTCTCTCGTTCTCAAAATGAATCCAGGACGGAAAGGTTAGTCTACGCATGATTCAGTTTAAATCTTAAGCGAGTATTTGGTCTTTTTTGGCAAACTTCTACAACATAAAATTCAATTTTATTCGCGTACGTTTTCATTTTCCTGTGAGACAACTGTGAGTCGGTTAGGTGCTTTCATAAGTTTGTTTTACTCATCGCTGCGGAGTTAAAACACTGAGTCCTCGTACCGTTTAGGACTCATAAAGTTCCGACAAAACTCCTGTAGCTCTCATCGAAAGCTAAAATCCTATGGACAAAGAAACTTTTATCGCAAATTACGCCAATTTTAGAACTTCAGCGCGGTAAGCCTCGACATTACGACGGAGTTACAACCGTCCCATTAAGTCCGGTTCGCTAACGAAAACGTGCCGTTGAAGCTTCTCTCTCGCCTCCGTGCCGTATACTCCCTTCATCCGTAACCTTCCCTCCCCTCCCATCCTCACATTTCCACTATTCGTTCATTCATATTTAAAATCCCATTCCATTCAACTTTCTGCGCGGCTCGATTCAATCAGTGGCGTGGCGTGCTTTGCGATACATCGATTGATGTGCCATTTAAAGCTATAGAAAATGATCGATGAACATGGTGTTCACACCCAACACCTTAATAATCGATTCTTTAGCGTAGCTTCAAACGGGGAAATATCGATTATCGATCATTCATGCCGCGCCACTATATTCAATGAGTGAACACTCCATCAAATCAGGAAGAGGCTTGATCAATTTTTGAGGGATCGCTTCAAGAACTTTGATTGGCTGCTGCTTTCCCTATGAAGCTGCGTGTGCAGATTTAAAGTACACATTTTTTTAACCACGTTGTTGCTGCAATTGCAATACGATTCCTGTCTTTCCCTTTCCCTAATTAAAGGTAAAGAACATAGTTATCTATTAGAAAATCGAGCTACAAGCCAAAATATACAAGTAATATTTCAAACTACATGTAAATGAGAAAAAATATAAAACTTACGAAAACTTTTTTGTAAGCTACTTTTTTGTAAGTTTTATATTTTTCCTCATCTACATGTAGTTTGAAATATTATTTGTTATTTTGGCTAGTTGCTCAATCTTTTAATCAATAAACATTATCTATGCAGCTTAGCCAGCCAAAGGCAATAAAATGTATTTTAAGGTAAATGTTGTTAATTCTTCAGCCCCCGAACAATTTCTACGAGCCTGTTGGGTGATCACGGATGGTTTCACAAAGTTAAATTTTAATTTTTTGTAGTAAAAATTCTGTTTTGTGACATTTTAATTATTTTCTTCAAAACTTCATATTACGCCATGTATCCCTTACGCCCCCCACCGTTCAAAATATCTACATCCGCCTATGGTCCGTTTTCTGTAAAAAAAAAAAAAAAAAAAAAAACTACAGTCTTATAGTTACTGTTCTCTCCAGTAACACGGCGGAACTCTCCTTCCATCCGTAACAAAAGTTTGCAACGCCCTCTCCCTCATCGAACTATGATGCCAAATAAACAAGGATCACGCAAAAGCCCTCTTAATCTCCTATGCAAGGAAGGGATACGGAATAAATATTTAGGGAGGGGGCGATGAGGATTCCACATGCTCCTCAATGGCGGGTGTATTTATGCACATGTAAGCTTGTATTGCCACATCCTGAATGCGTGCTTTATCCCGGACGGCGCTGCGCACAGTGGATCGAGTCAACGAGAGAGGTCGGACAAAATTTGGAAACTTCAAAAGCTCATAACTTTGTTAAATCCGTCCGCTTCGCTTGCAGACCGCAGTGCGGGGTCTAGCAAAATAATCTTTAGTTCCAAGCTAAAACTTCCATTGCGCATTGAAAGAACATTTTGTCTGAGACTCTGAGACTCGTGAAGGCGTGTTGCGCGCGTCTGAGCGAGCGGGAAAACGCCTTCAAATAGGTGGGTATGCAACGCGGGCAACCGTAGAGCACGAATAGTTGTATGCTCCGCCGTGCCCGTGTCTCGTTACTGATGGGATTGAGATGCGTTGCCGAGCCGGTGTCCCGATTCTATTCCCTCTTATTGATGCAACAAGATATGACAATTGTAAGAAATCGAATCGATGTTGCGGGATTGCGGGTTTGGACGTGTTTCAGCGAAAGGAACTCATCGAAAGCGGGAGTTCTAGGAAAAAATATTTTCTGTATCAGGTTACTTTGATTCACTCAGTGCTCCCACTCCCAGTCCGTCAAAAGTTCCGGGATTCGGAGTGTTTTTGCTTCGATTTCTCCCACTCCATGACCGTAAAAAGTTCACTAGAAAAAAAACACATTGGATCTAGAGTCCAGACTCTTGAAAACATCGACAAGAAAAAATACTCTTGATTCAATCAGATTTAAGCTTGAACCAAGAACCAAGCCTTTTAATTCGAGCGGATTTCCTTTTGATTTATGCTTAAATCTGATTGAATCAAGAGTATTTTTTCTTGTCAATGTTTTCAAGAGTTTGGACTCTGGATCCAATGTGTGTTTTTTTTTCCAGTGTTCCGAAATTTTTTTAGATTTTTTCAAAAGTTCCGGAAAATGCAAAAGATCCGAAGTATCTCGGGAATTTCACAAGTTGCGGGAAAAATTTAGGAAAACCTCAAAAGTTCCGGAATTTGGAACTATTTGCGGGAAATGGGAACACTGCTTGAAATTTAAAATGTGGCTAATTAAACATCAAAATGTGGAGTTTTAGTCAAAAATTTCATGTCCGCCCTCTCGAATTGATTCGATCCACTGTGCGGCGCGATGAAGCTGAAGCGCGGAAACTGGAGCGAGCGGGATCTTCATTAGTACCTGCTCCGAACACGCTTCGCTGGACCTCTAAAGCTTCCTGTGCGGTTGTCGAGTTTCGCCGGAAGGAAATGCGACGAGAAAAATGAACTACATTTTGCGATAAGGAACAATGTTTCCTGCTACAGCTCAGGGACATCGTATGTACCATTAGCTTCCCTATGCAGATAAGTTCTCTTATGGATGGGCCACAAATAATAGTTCCTTATTGAAACGTGTCCACGATGAGATTCCTCAACCGTGTATCCTGATCGAGTGTTTCTTGAAGCGTATTTTCGCGTTGGGTCGGATGGATCGTGCGAATCCGATCCAGTGAATCCGTATTTTCTCGTGGGCCCGATCCTCGTTTTCGGGGTTCATCGAGCGGGTGGCTGGTGCTCACCGGTGGGACTCAACAGGAAGCGAATTTTATTCTTAAGCCCTAGATAGACGATCAAATTCCGATCAAAGTAGACATGCTGATGACTGATGGTCACCATCTACCATCAAATTTTGATGGGCCGCACTTATTTGTTCAAAGTAAGATCAGAATGGAGTGCCACCATTCATCATTTCCTGCCACAGGATACATTTCTGCCAAATTTTCATTTTAAAATGAAGCAAATTAATGAGTTTAAGACTGATGACTCCCGACACTTTAATGCTACTTTGATCGGAATTGGTTCGGGAATTTGATCGTCTATCCAGGGCTATCAAATTCCGAACCAATCCCGATCAAAGTAGACATGCTGATGACTGGTGGTCACCATCTACCATCAAATTTTGACGGGCCGCACTTTCTTGTTCAAAGTAAGATCAGAACGGAGTGCCACCATTCCTTCATCATTTCCTGCCACAGGAAACATTTCTGCCAAGTTTTCATTTATAAATGAAGCAAATTAATGAGTTTGAGACTGATGACTCCCGACACTTTGATGCTACTTTGATCGGAATTGGTTCGGGAATTTGATCGTCTATCCAGGGCTGAAGTTCCGAACCTCTTTGGGAAGTTCCGCCCCGGTTTGTCTCATCAATCACCAACACTAGTGGACAGTGAACACCGTTGTTACCAGACTTGACCAATCAGATCAGTTGGTTTTCGACGGGTCGAATCTTTTTTAGAACCATGGCCCTATGTCCACTGTCCATTCGTCAAAATGGCGTTAAAATGAAAGCTCAAAGTGAATCGATTTCAACGATAAGTGGCTAATAGTCGGGACTTTATGCGATTGATGAGTGTTGCAACTCAAAAGATAGCGGCGCTACTCTTTTTTGATCGACAATTGCGAACAGATCGTATTTATCGATTCACTTTGAGCTTCCATTCTGACGCCATTTTGACGGGGAGACACAGGGCTCATCTCGCGAGGTGGTATCAAAATCACGTATCAACGTTGCGATTCGTTAGTCACCGAATTTGAAGTTCCGAACTCAAATAAGATGGTAGCTCGGAGGTTCGCGCGCCGAAGTAGTACCGAACCTCTAGATAAAATTCGCTTCTGTGCCACGTGCAAAGCCCGTATCAGCCCGATGTCAACGATTTCATCCGATTCGAGACAATCGATCGGACTGACGCAAAAATTCACCTAAAATATCTGTCTAAAACATAAATAAAGCTACGATCGAAAAATGCGTACCTCCGATTGCACCGTTGTAAGTATTTGATCACGTGTCCTTTCTCGAAGGAAAATTGGATTGCATTTCGCAAAAAGGAACCAGAAGAATTGTAATGATGCTAAGATTGTGCATTTTCATCCTTTGCAATAAAATTACTGAAACCATGACAAAATATGAAATTTACATTATAATTTTGTCTTAAATGTATAGTTTTTAGCGAGTTAAATAGAAACCACTAGTGGATAATCAGGTTTTTCTTCCAAAACAAAAGAAGTTGCACAATCTTAGCAACATTGCAATGCTCCTGGTTCCTTTTTGCGAAATGCGATCCAACTATGACCAACAGGTTCTTTAGAAATCGTTTGTGAATATTTTCCACTTATTCTAAAAAAAAAACACAAAACATTGCTAGGAAACTTTTGGGTTATATTTTCTTTTTCCTTCTTAGTGGCTCTTTTGTTTTAACGCATAATCGGGAAATAAAAAAATTATACAAAATCAGAATTATGTTAAGAAAAATCAACGGAAAGGAAGCAGAAAAATCGTCTCCATTCTGCCGTGCCAAGGAAGAACGTCGTATGAACCTTCGAGAGCTGCCAAATCTCCCCGGATAAAACACGCATTGTTGACGAAATTTTTACATATTTTTCCTTGAAATTCTCAAATATTTTAGATTAAGTTGCGAACAACACAGTCTGAAAAATTGGGAGAAAAACATTTACAATTTCCCCGATAAATTCGTATTTTATCGGAGGAAATTTGACAACGCCTGAGGGCTCATGCGGCGCTTCTCCTTAGCATGGCAGTATTCACGTACCTGATTCGCAGACGTATCATTCTGCATTGAAGCAGAGCTGACAGAGCGGCCTAGATCTTCCAGGTTCATGTCTGCTAACCATTCTTCAACATTCACTAGAGCAGAAATTCAAATATTTTAGACAAACTCTGATAAATTAAATTAGGATCAAAAGAATGAGTCGAATTAGCAAGATTACACTGGATGAAATCAATCTATAAAGTGAAATCCTGTAAAAAAAAAAAAAAAACCATACAACTTTAATATTAGAGTTTACTGTTAATTTATTTTATTTTTTTTTAAGTTTTTCAATACTAAAGCGTATAAAATGCTACATTTACTTTTGCTGAGTTTTTAGTTTTACTGATTTTAAATTTTTAGATGAAAATGAAGCTGAAATTCTCTTTAAAGTTTCGGTGGAGATTTATGTTTTTGTTGACCCGAAAATGTTAAATCTACAGTTATTCGTGCGTGATGTATTCTATGTATGTGCAAAGAAACATGATGAAGAAACATGTATTAGAGTGATTCCATTTGTTCCTAGTGCAGCGGTCCAATTGCCGTGTTTTTCACAGGGCTACGTCTTTGTAATAATAATTAGACAAAGAGATTTGGAATTGGAACGAATCTTAAAATTACTGTTTCAATACATTGGCTCATCCACTAGACCTAAACGTCAAAATACGATTTTAAGTCTGGTAAAAATTATATTCGGGGAGATGAACAGTCTTGTTAGCATTTATAGTTTACCAACATGCAACTTTTAACGAGCAATAGCGCCTGGTTGATGACGTATACCCCTCCTCCCCCCTCTTCATCCAGTGCAAGTAGTCAGTCCATTTTGATAGAGTTAAAAAAAGAACTAACTCCACATTGTAAGGTTTTGACACATGTGCGTTTTTTCAAAACTGAAAGAATTAAATTTCGAGGAACGAAAGAATCGATTATCAAGGTGTTCACTGCGAACACCCTGCTCATCGATTCTTTTCCATAGGTTAAAATATCATAACAATCGATATGTCGCAAAGCACGCCATGCCACTGGATTAAGTGGGAGCGCACAAATAATATTTTCATGTCTTAATTGAAAGAGTAAAGACTTAAGAGCAATTAAATTAGCATTACAGGAATCTATTTACGAGCAAACACTAATTATTATGAGATAGCAGCGCCGAACAATAGCATTGTTATCACTTAGCGTCACTCGTTTAAGGCTAATTAACAAAACCACCTTAAGATAGAGCGACAATCGTCGTATTCAAATTTCCTTATTGCGCACTTATAAACATAGTGGTTAAACAGACGCTACCGTAGGTACTCTTTACTCGAAAGACTATCTCTAGGTGGCGGCAGCCACCCCGGCTCAATCCTATAAAACTCCCCCTAAAAAATTGACACAAAAAAATAAATAAAATAAAAAAAAATTACAGCAAGAGCGATGGTAAATCAAGTTTGGGTTTGAACAATGATTAAATTTCACCTGCACGCAAAAATTAAACGGTTGAAGGTTCAACCGCAAAAAGACTCAACCCATTTTTACCCTTGAATGAAAAAATAAATATATCAGCCCTTACCATTTGAGTCACCATTCCTCAAACATTCCAGTCTTGCTTCTGCCTTTGCTTTTGCTACCTGAAATTCATTTAGAAAATTTATATAAATTGTGGTTTTTATACGTTTCAACCAATTTAAGCGTTCAAATTAGTTATTTAGTCAAGTATTAATGTATTTAGCAACATTTTTCTGTCTAGGCTATTAATGTCAAAATAATAGCATGGTTGAATTCAAGTATTCGACAGTAACTGATTGATTATCTCGTGTTAAGAATGAGGCAAAATCGTGATGGATTTTCGTCGAGTATGCCTTAAGGGGCTGCATAAATACAATAACTATTTATCAGCCCAAAGGGATTAATCTCACATTATTTTGGCGCAAAGGATGCCCAAAATCTTCACAAATTGGTCCCATGGCAGCATTTCAAAGTCTGCGGACGAAAAATATCAAATATAAGAAAAATACTGTTAAATTTTGCGGGCGCAGTTACCACTCTTCAAAGAGATTCAATTTAAACGTTTATAACATGATTAATAATGTGGATTTTGGCGCGAAACTTTGATCCAATGTTCCTGTGAGTTTTAGAAATTGTTAGGTATCGATGACTGAAAACCTATATTCCTTTTACCCCAACTTATTTCTCTCACTGTGCTGAACAAGTAGTTGAATTTCCACCTTTAGGCACATTTTTTCCTGCTCAAGTCATGCATTTAGCGAAGCCGTCGTGGTTAGTAATGTCAAAAAAAATATCATGGCTGAATAAAATATAGTAAACAGGTATACTGATTGCTATAGCAGACTGAAAAGAAAAATTCGCTCACGGCCAGAAAAATATTTCGAAAGAAAGATACCTTAGTACTGAAACCGGTTGTGCTATGAGAGAACAAAAACAAATCGTGACGGAACTGCTTACCTCAGATCTCCTAATACTGTGTTTCAGATCTTCAATTTTTGTTTCTAAATCTGGCCCATTCGGGTCATTTGGATCAGACTGGAAAACATTAAGAAAAAGTCGAATTATTTGAGGTACACCGAAAATTTGTCAAACCTTTATCATTTCTACCATAGGTTTAAAAAGAGACGGAAAAAGTTTAGGGTTGTAGTTGAAACTGATTTGAAAAATGTTTGAAAACGAAAAAAAAAGAGCAAAAAAGAAAAAAATTGAACCAACAAAACGTTGAGACCTATTTAAAGTGACCCCATTATAATCTGCATGAGATCTGATTTTTAGGCGCATTTGGCGCATGGCACATGGCATCCGGGAAAGGCAGAACACTGTTTTCTAATGTGAGTACTATGAACATGATAAGAACAACTATTCTTCTTTCTCGTAGAGTACATAGAGTCGTAATGTAAATGAGAGAGCTAGCGCCATGTTCTGCTCGACAAGTTCCGAGCCTGGTGCGTGCGCCGAGTTCGGGTCGCTTTTTCGATACATGTTCGATCCAAAATGGCGGTGTGGAATACGTGGTGATTCCTATCTTCTTTGTTTACATCGGATGGCTGGGTACCCGTGTATCGCAAACAATCGATCATGTATCGAAAAAGGGACCCGGCGTCACACAGGAGTCTCGGAATTCGAGGCCTGGAAAATGCTTAAAAGTGGCGCCAGCTCACCCACTTACATTACGAATCTATGTACTTTATGTTCTTTCTACGTTGGGCTCACTATCGCTCTCCTTAAAGCTCTGTCAGGGGTGTGGAGTGGTGAAGTGGTGGTGGGGGCTTGGTGACATAGACATGGAGCTTGGGAGAGAAGCGGAGGCAGGCCCGCCACAAGGGGGGGGGATACTGGGTCCTTGGTACCGGGGCCCGGGCCCTGGAGGGGCTCGTGACGCAGGTGGCAAATTACTACGAATTCATGTGCAACCCTTGTCTCGTAGGGAAAAGTGAAAAAATTACCCTTAAAATTCCGCAAAAGGTGAATAAAGTTTCAAAAACACACTAGGGCACTATAAAATTTGTCTTACTTTTTTAGAGATTTCTATCTATTTTTAAGATTTTGAGTAGGTATAAATAGAATGATATTTTTAGTAACTGCATTTCATTTTCTTCCGTTGTCGGATGCTAAGAGCCTCCTGTCTGGGCATCCTCGACTTCAATGGCTCAACTCCCTCGCCATACACGTACGAAAGGGGAGTCTAAGGGGGCCCGGCCCCCCCTAGAATTGAAAAGTATCATCTGCCCCCTTAAAAAAAAATTTAGAGATGTTTTGAATGCAACGATTCGAAAGTATTTGGTGCTGAAAATAAAAAAAAAAAGCGTAATTATTCTGCAGAAATTGATGGAAAGTCTCCATCATAAGATCTTCAAAATGCGTACAAATAGATTTAAAATTTCAAAAATTTCCCGAAGGTGGCTCCTCGGACCCCCCTCTGCGCTAGAGGCCCGGGCCAGAAAACTGGTACCAGGGCCCGAGATGAGATGTGGCGGGCCTGAGCGGAGGGGTGGGTGGGTGCTACTGCGTACCTTTTGTCCGGAGTCCCTGAGTGCCTGGAAGACTTGGAGTTTGCGAGTGTTCTCGCGGATGTTGTTGTTCTCGCGGTGGACGCGGGTGGCCCAGCGACGGGCCTCCTTGGAGAGGACCGAGACGACCGAGCTGTGGTCGGCGGTGATCCGGTCGACGGTGTCGTTGTCGCACGCCTCGAACTCGTACTGGATGTGCTGCTTCAGCACCGGGTAGTACAGGTACACGCACTGCATGTTGTAGTCCCGCGACAGCTAGACACAACACACCAACATAGATATTACTTAAAAAAAAAAAAAAAAAAAAAAAAAAAAAAAAAAAAAAACAGTTACCCCTCCGGAAATAGGGGGTGGAGGACATTGTAGACTCCTACCCCTCCCTCTCTTCCCGAAAAGAGGGTTTTACGTAGGTGAGATGCCAGGGGAAATGTTTCAAATCCACCATTAAAAACATGATTTAATATTTTTAGGTACCGCTTGCGAGGATATTGACGCCGGAAAAAAGCTGGGTTTGAAGAATACACAGCGATAAATGGCACGAAAAATACATTTGTAATTTACAGGTTCTGACATTTCGAAATGACGCATGAAGTCTCAAAAACTTGACGCTCTTGAAATGTTAAACCCTTCGGCTATACCTGTACGTAGCCTAAAAAGAAAATCGGGCCCTGCCAACACTGAGAAAAAATATTGATCACAGGACTGAATTTTAGGTCATATGGAATACGAAAACGCTCAGGTAATCAAAGTCTTGGGACATACAACCCAAACTTCGGTTTAGACAAGAGGAAAACACTAAAAATGTGGCCCGAATTCTAGTTACAGAATGGTAGAATGAAGCTGGGTCCACACTATCCTACGGGAAAATCAAAACCAGGAAATCCAAAAATTGGAATTAGAATAAAAGCCCGTTCACAAAACGCCCAACCATGCCCCAAGTAGCAGTGATCGCGATAAATAGCGATTTTATCGGTTGATTATCGCGATTATATCGGTGGTAACTTATCGCAATATTATCGAATAAAAAATTGCGATTTATGGCAATTAAATCGCTATGCATCGTAATTATCTGCTCGGTAAAATCGCGATCAATTTTCGTCGATAAAATCGAGATTAAATCGCCATATATCGCGATTTTTGTTGCAATAATATCGCGATTTCTGTACCGATAATATCGCGATAAATTGCCGGGCGAAAAAATCGAGATTTTATTGCAACAAGATCGAGGATAATTGCACAGGTGTTGATGATCTCAGCGATTTTATCGCCGACAGGATCGCAACAAATCGCGATTTTAGTTGGCATCACTGTGTTTCCAGCGAAATTTTACATGGAAGCAGTTTATTAAATCCGGAATTTCCCGCTCTCGCGGGGACACGATTTGCATAAGTGACTCATATTGAAATCAGTTAAATTAAACTTCCCGCCTGCGGAGGAGACCGAAATCAAATTCAAATGGGAATGGGCAACTCAACAAAATTGCACCAAAATTGGACGTATTTCTGCCAGACGGAACTATGGGGATTAAGACATGAGCCCTGAGACCCATAAGGATATATCTATAACAGGGCTCACGTCATAATGCACATAATTCCGTTTGACAGAAATACGTCCAATTGGACCTCACCGCAAAAGTTGTAATTGCAATAAACTGACCGCTGGAGGCAAATAATTATTGCATTTCGAACAAGATACTAATTATGAACTCACTAATTCATTGGATATTATAAATATTCCGTCTCAAATATAACGTTTGAACAAATAGGAGTTTATGGCAAAATTAGGAAAAAACATGTCTCTCAATATATACGACGTTGCGAACTTCCTTCCGTACTTTACTATGGCGCATGAAGACCATCACTTTTTATTCAGTGGTGTTAAGTGTTACCACTGGACACTTCTATCAGTATGCACGCTAGGGTTCATTTACGCATTCAGGTCTGCACTACGCGCATTGCCAATTTTGGCAAAATCGAGTCTAAACTCGAAGGAGATAATAGGCTTCAATTCTATGAAAAAACATGCTTAATTGCAGTGCGCAAACATAGTAACTGGTTCCTGCGCGTGACTAACTAAAAAATGAGCTCTCAATTACGCAGTAATGGTTCTACGCACACAGCGGCAAAACTAATAACTAATGAAAATATACCCGAATTTCCTTCATCTATCGTATGCCACAATCACACGATGAATTTAGCAGCTGAAAGTGGAAGTCAACAGTCATCGCCCAACGGCTGAAATTTTGCAAATTCGAGTTATTTTCATCCAAGATGTGTATCAAATCTACTCGAATAGTTCAGACAAATCCAACATTAGTCCGATGGTTGGTGGGAATCGTTGCTGAATTTTGCGCGTGACGCGCAAAATTCAGGCATCGGGCCGATGACTCCCACATTCAAGCCACATTCAGCTCCCACATTCAGCGTGTGATTGCGGCATCATAATGATCTTTTCAAAAAGGTAATGTAAAAATATTGTTTTTTTCCCCCCAAAAAATATAATTGTCGAGAGCTGAGAACAGTTACTGCCCAGCACACTCATACATTCAAGACGGAATCTTCATAAAATCCTTGAAGTTGTGAGCTTCCAATTGGACGTATTTCTACCGAACAGAACTATGTGCTTTAAGACATGAGCCCTGAGACCTATAAGAATACATGCATACCAGGGCTCACGTCGTAATGCACATAGTTCCGTTTGACAGAAATACGTCCAATTAGGAGCGTGGTTGTCCAACGTGCTTTGTTCGTTGTCCTCCCGGGAGCCTCGCCTCCATTTTTAAACGACTGTGTACCTACGTGACTCTGAGCAATTGCAACTTGGCCCGAGTCCCACTTTCGATAGCTTTCAGTTGCCAAAGTTTTGCTCGGCTGCCCACACTGCCGCACTATGGAAGAACGCCGTATGGACATTCGAGAGTTGCCAAATTTCTCCGAATAAATCGTTTATTTTTAGGGAGAAGTATAAGCATTTTTCTTTGATATGTTCAGACATTTTAGATCAGTCCGCAAACAAAATTTTCCAAAAATTTGAAGGACAATAATCACGACTTTCCCAATGAATTCGCAGTTTATCGAATAGAATGGACCACTAGACAAGGTACGCATTCAAGCATTCTGATACATGTTTCTTAATCAGAATTTCACGTAGAACACGATTCGCGCAATTAAAATTACTGAAACCAACTCCTAACGGAGATATTAACATTTTTATTTCACATTGGTTACGAGGAATTTGAACTGCCCGCTCACAAGAAACTCAAAGCTCTACGTGAGTCAAATCGCGCACTACAACGGTTTCAGCAAGCTTCTCAATCGAGCAATGTTCTTTTCCCACCTTGTGTTTTTCAAACTATAAGTAATTTGCTATAGCTGAGCCAAAGCGTCAAGATTGAGGTTGCCAAATTTTTTTTATCGCAGAGACGTTCATGATAACGTTTAGCGCGCGATGTAAATCACGCAGAGCATTGAGTTTTCATGAGCGGGTGGTTTCAATTCACCCACCAAGAATCATTAAATATCTTCGGAAGGAGTTGATTCCGGTAATTTTCGTTATGTGCATCATGTTCTACATAAAATTTTGGTTAAGAAACATGTATCAGAATGCTGAAATTCGTACCTTATCTATTGGTCCATTCGCAGTTTATCGAATAGAATTTGGCAACGCCTAAAGTTTCATACGGCGTTTCTCCATAGCACAGCAGCGCAGAAAAGCATAACTACGATTCACACATCTTGAATCCTGGATCGTCAGCGAACAAACGCTATCATTGGCAGACTCATAAAGATAGGTCTTTTTAAAGCTCTCAATGTAATTAATGGCGTTTTTGTTTGCCTTTTCCAGTTAATTACTCCAACAAGAAACGGGTTAAGCAGAAAGAAACTAAATAATGGGAGGTTGAAACTGAGTGAAGATGTTTCGGGGTTTTCTTATAGGATTCGACGTGTGAGTAAAGCATTACACGGAAAAAATTAAATTGCTGACTTAACAATTCAATTCCTAAAAAAAGTGACTGCGATGGTTTTTCAACTAGATTTTACAACAAAAAATGCAACTTTAGCCACCCCCGAGGTTAAATTAGCTTACAATAGAGGTTAAAGTAGCATTTTTTTCTCGGTAATCTACGTTGGAATATTGCAGTCACTTTTTTTAGCAGTTGAATTGTTAAATCAGCAGTTTAATTTTTTCCGTGAATAGTTTTTAATCCCAATTTTCATAAGTTAAATGTTTTTTCTCGGCTTTTTACAATCTTAATTCCTCTAGAGCATCGTAAAATATACCGAAAGTAGTTCAATATGACTTGAGAAGACTTCCTTTTTTAGGAGTTTAAAGTGAGAACTGACAAAAACAAAAAACGCTTCCTCTCTTACGTAAGAGTTAGATTTGCAAAGTTTTAGCTGCTCCATTGTATTTTACGAAAAATAAGGATAAGAGACATATATTTTAGTGCTTGATTTTGTACAGCCAGCGGTTTGAAGATCCATTGTTTGGGAGCAACATAGGCTCCGGAGTGAATACATTTTCACCGGAATAAGGAAACGTTTATTTTAGAGCTTGATTTCAAACAGCAGTTTTTCCATTCTTTGGGAGCTATACAGGCTCCAGAGTGAGTGAAATGTAGACTGGATTATACTAAGATTTTTAACAGTGAAGCCGGAAGTGTTTTGAACGTGAAAACATTTTGGAAATTTTTCGCTGTGCCCACGTAGCAGTGATCGCGATAAGTTGCAATTTGATCGGAGAATGTATCGCAATTTCATCGAAGTCGCTTTATTGCAAGATTATAAGCTATAAAATGCAATTTCATAAATTTGCAATACCAATCACGATTTATCGCGATATTATCGAGCATAAAATCGTGATAAATTGAGGTAAAATATCGATTTTATCGAACGACATTTTATAGAGACGAAATTGCGACAAGATTGAGGACAATCGCTCAGGTGTTGATAATAATCGCAACTTTATTTCAAATTGAAAGAGAAAGTCTTTCCTTTACACGCTATGTTGTTTATTAAATGTTGTTGTAGTGGATGTATATTTCGGACATCAAGTCCATTCTCAGGACTTAACCACAAAATTACACAGTGAAACACCGGAAGTAGATGAAATATCACACTGCATTACAACTCGATAATAACTCGATTAGCTATTTCTTTTTGATAACTACGAACTTTTTAGCTTTTAACCTTTTCACTTGTTCAATTGTTCCTGTTTTAATTGTAATGCAATGTGATATTTCATCTACTTCCATTGTTATACCGTGTAGTTTTGCGATTAAGTGCTGAGGATGGACTTGATGTCCGAAATGTACATCCGCTACAACAACTTTTAATAAACAACATAGTGGATAAAAGCAAGACTTTATTTTTCAATTTTATTCATTAATTAACACGCAGAAATGCGATACCTCGATTACTTGTATTGCATTTTGCAAAAAGGAACCAGGAGCATTACAATGTTGCTAAGATTGTGCAACTTCTTTTGTCGGTTGAAGGACATTTCGACAACAATTTTATGTCCGCACACCTGGTTCCTCTAGTGTAGTTTATGTCCACGCGTTTTTTCGGCAGGGTACTTCGTGCCGTAGTACCTTGATTTATTTTGCGAGGAAAGCTCCGCACTCTTGAAGGATGCCTATCCTTCTTAAAATGTTGGAGCGCCTTCAATTTCGTTTGATACTATGCAACACCTCTGTTGTGAAACAGTTGCTTGAAGCGCCGTGGCACACTGCGGCGTGGTGGGCGGCTGGCCAACTCCCAACGCGCATTGACGCCTACAAACCTAAGGGGATACTTCAAGCATTGCGCGATGCGTGAAGTGTTCCCTTAGGTTTGAAGGCGTTAGTGCGCGTTTCGTGCCGGTAGCACGCCGCTCCGCTCTGTGTTCGGCTCAAATATTTAAAATCGCGGAGTCGGCGTTTTTCTGCTCATGATTTTGAAATTTTTGCACATTCTGCATGGATTTTCCTCATTTAAATTGATGGGGAAAAATGTATTAAAGGAAAATATAAAATATGTTTTGTAAATATTAAGGTGGTTCCGTGTCAAAGGAGGAGTTGCGTTTTTGGCCTTTTCCGGCCCCACCTGGATTTTGCTAAATGTTTCATATTTTCAAAGTACTAGTCTTAGGTAGACTCTGTGCCAAATATTAGACCGAACGGAGCCCATGCAAGGGCGCAGCAGCGCCTCAAACCCAAAATCCTGGAATCGAAAAACAATTATTTTCGTCGACTTTTTCCACTGTTATCACTCTTCCAGCACATGATTCTTATGTATTTTTTTGCGTACTTTTCGTTTCTGGCCTTTTTAAAGGCCTCCGATAAATTTTAAGGGGCCTTATGGCCCATTGTTGCCATTTTTGGCCCATTTTTAGGGGTTTTTTCCATTTAACACATTCAAAACTCAATTTAATCCAAAAACTGTGTACATTTTTGAAAAGTACGTAAAAAAATGAATAAAAAATGTTCAGTAAAATTTTTTCCTATGTTGCCAAATTTCCGAGAAAATTGGTCCCAAAGTGTCAAAAACGGCAAAAAATCGATAAATCGCCGCGTCTAAGGTTCAAGAAAGTGGAGTACATTTTTCATACTGTACCAGATAACAGCTCTTATCCATCCATACAACATACTAAAATATCATAGTTGTACCTGGATTCCCACGATGTGAAAATTGACCGAGATGTCGATTTTAGCGGCCTTTTTATACTTGAAGGCAGCTCTTTTGAATGTTTTTCGACCTTAGTCACCCTCTATGGGTGTGTACTATATGTATTTTTCTACGTACTTTTCATATCTGGCCATAAAAATGGCTTCCTGTGAATTTTAAAAGGCCTAACGGTCCATTGTTGCCAATTTTCACCAATTTTTAGGGGTTTTTTCAAGTTTACGTGTGTGAAACTTAATTTAATCTAGAAACCGTGTACAATTTCGGAAAGAACGTAAAAAAATACATAGAAATGTGATTTGTACCTTTTCCCTACGTTGCCAAATTTTCGAGAAAAATCGTCCTGAAGCGTCAAAAATGCCAAAAATTGGATTAATCATCACGTCGGAGGTTCCAGGAAGTGAATTTCAAGTTTTTTTTCACTACAAATAACGTATCGAAAATGGAAAATTGCAATGCATCTCAAGGAACATGTAATGGCGCAGATGAACGTGACAAAACGGGCCCTCAAGGTGCTTTTACTTTATCCTTCACTCCAGTTCACCTCTTTATTCCTGTAACCTCGAGATAATCCTTGGTTCTCAAGATGCTTGCTACAGGCCAAATATACCGAAGAACAGAAAATGCGTGGAGAAAGTGTCCCACGATCCACATGAATGTCATAATTCACTTCCTGGAACCTCCGACGTGATGATTAATCCAATTTTTGGCATTTTTGACGCTTCAGGACGATTTTTCTCGAAAATTTGGCAACGTAGGGAAAAGGTACAAATCACATTTCTATGTATTTTTTTACGTTCTTTCCGAAATTGTACACGGTTTCTAGATTAAATTAAGTTTCACACACGTAAACTTGAAAAAACCCCTAAAAATTGGTGAAAATTGGCAACAATGGACCGTTAGGCCTTTTAAAACTCACAGGAAGCCATTTTTATGGCCAGATATGAAAAGTACGTAGAAAAATACATATAGTACACACCCATAGAGGGTGACTAAGGTCGAAAAACATTCAAAAGAGCTGCCTTCAAGTATAAAAAGGCCGCTAAAATCGACATCTCGGTCAATTTTCACATCGTGGGAATCCAGGTACAACTATGATATTTTAGTATGTTGTATGGATGGATAAGAGCTGTTATCTGGTACAGTATGAAAAATGTACTCCACTTTCTTGAACCTTAGACGCGGCGATTTATCGATTTTTTGCCGTTTTCGACACTTTGGGACCAATTTTCTCGGAAATTTGGCAACATAGGAAAAAATTTTACTGAACATTTTTTATTCATTTTTTTACGTACTTTTCAAAAATGTACACAGTTTTTGGATTAAGTTGAGTTTTGAATGTGTTAAATGGAAAAAACCCCTAAAAATGGGCCAAAAATGGCAACAATGGGCCATAAGGCCCCTTAAAATTTATCGGAGGCCTTTAAAAAGGCCAGAAACGAAAAGTACGCAAAAAAATACATAAGAATCATGTGCTGGAAGAGTGATAACAGTCGAAAAAGTCGACGAAAATAATTGTTTTTCGATTCCAGGATTTTGGGTTTGAGGCGCTGCTGCGCCCTTGCATGGGCTCCGTTCGGTCTAATATTTGGCACAGAGTCTACCTAAGACTAGTACTTTGAAAATATGAAACATTTAGCAAAATCCAGGTGGGGCCGGAAAAGGCCAAAAACGCAACTCCTCCTTTAATGATCCCCAAAGCACTTTAATTATTTATTTTATCTTTTGGTTTTTTCCCCTTTCATATTCATTTTGGTATAGTTTCTTTCAACACAACTCTTATTTTACGCGTGGACGTAAACTACCGGACAAAACAGGCACGCGGACAAAAAATCGTTGATGGAACGTCCTGAAACCCTTTTGTCTGATTATCCACTAACAGTTTCTACTTTACTCGCTAAAATGTTTTAATACGAAAATTACTATGTGAATTTCATATTTTTTCATGGTTTCAGTAATTCCATTGCAAAGGATAAAATGCACAATCTTAGCATCATTGCAATTCTTCTGGATCCTCTCTGCCAAATGCAATCCACTTATTTCAAAACACCACCATTTTTCCGTTGAAAAATACCACTTGGGTGGTAGAAGTTGGCATCATGGGCAAAAACAAAAGCCCAACCACCGGCGAAAATTCGCCTCCTTTCTAGTAAACCTAGTGCGGATAATAGATGTGATACATACCTGATGGGCTTGGTCTCTGATCCTGGTGAAAGAGACCTGGGCGGCCGAACACGTAAGCAGCTCCGTCCGGCCAATGAGCATGAGATATTCTTGTACCTTTTCATAAACATTGCTTTCAATAGTCTGCAACAACAAACCGCAAGTTAATCATCGCCCATTGAAATGGCGAATGTAATTCCCAGATATGAACGACTGAAAGTCCAAAACTTGTTTCCTGCAGGGCGGCGAATTTGAATTCGCTCGTTAATCAACTTAATTCCACCCACGGGCTCTTCATTAGCAAAAGCGTCGTTGTCGAGTCGAGGGAAAAAATCTTTTCTCTGATTTACGAGCGTAAAGTGAATGTCTTTGCTCCGAAAACGACGGAATGGACCACTAGCCAAGGTACGAATTAAAGGATTCTGATACATGTCCCTTAACCAAAATGTCACGCAAAACACAATTCGCGCAACGAAAATGACTGAAACCAACTCCCAACGAAGATATTAACGTTTTTATTTTACATTGGTTTCAAGAAATTTGCACTGCCCGCTCACAAGAAACTCAAAGCTCTACGTGAGTCAAATCGCGCACTACAACGGTGACAACAAGCTTCTCAATCGAGTAACGTTCATTTCCCACCATGTGTTGTTCAAACTATAAGCAATTTGCTACAGCTGAGCCAAAGCGTCAAGATTAAGGTTGCCAGATTTTTATGTCGCAGAGACTGTCATGATAACGTTTAGCGCACGATGTGAATCACGCAGAGCATTGAGTTTTCATGAGCGAGTGGTTTGAATTCACGCATCAACAATTATTGAATATCTTCCTAAGGAGTTGATTTCGGTAATTTTCGTTGTGCGCATCGTGTTTTACATAAAATTTTGGTTGAAAAGCATGTAACAGAATGCTGAAATTCGTACCTTGTCTAGTGGTCCATTCGGAAAAAATGAAAACTTTGTTTTATTGCAGAAAATTTGTTTTTTAGAGTTATAAAAAAATTGATTATTCAAAAATTGAAATAATTGAACAATTGAAATGAAAATATAAATTAATCTTGAGTAAAGATGTTAATCTGTATAAAAGCGCTAAACGCGCATTTTAGTGTGAGCGTAAGGCAGACTAGAGCGCCTTCAAATATTGGCTATGCAACACGCGTATCCATCGAACACGAATAGTTGTATTGAAGCGCCGTCGTTATCTCAGGCCCCCTGCGTAGCCTGTCGTGTTCGAGAAAAGCGCTGTGTAAACATTCGGACGGCACCAAATTTTCCTAGATAGAATATTTATTTTAGAATAGTTTTGTGAAGATTATACCTTGAAATTATTTGATACCTAAGATTAATAATCGACTAATAATCTCTTAAAAAAAATAAATGAAAATATTCAAAAGTATCACAAAAAAATCGTATTTTATAAAAGGAATTTTGGCAATTTCTGATGGCTTATGAGGTGTTCTTCCATAACAAGGAAAACGCGTCGACTCGTTGCATCCTTTTGTCACCGTAATCATAACTTATGAGAAATCATCCTTCAAAACGCAACACAATAGACGTTTTTTTCCATTTTATACAACGTCACAGCGGGTATTTGCATTGGCTCTTTGAATGAAAAAAGAGTCATTAAATTTTCAACAAGCTGAATCACTTCTTCTTTTTAGGATCTTTCATGAGAATAAATTATACCACAAAACTTTGTTTTCCTAAATCGGTGGTATGAAAGTCTTAAAACTCTTACCTTATTTAAAAGTTCAAAGTTTCTGCTACTAATGATTTGTTAAATACGAGTGAATGAACATTATTATTTAAACATTGCACAGAACAATCTTTACCAAAGGCAAATAAATTATGAAAAATCCCAGAACCTATCATAAAGAATGTACAAACCTATCATAAACTATTTCGAAATCGACAAAACTTCTCTATTGCATTTTCAATAATTGTGCATTGAGGCACGTCATTTTAATTCCTTGCAAGGTTCTATTTCCAATTTTATACGGTCAAAGTTTGTTCGAGATTCATTAGAATATTCCTTTTGTGATACTACGTTGATCATCTCGTTAAACCTCCCTTAAATATTATGTAAACTATATGTGGGCCTTCCTAGGGGTCGACTTTGTTTGGAGGGCGATTTTTATACGGTCCTTTGTCCGTTCCAGTGGTGTGGCGTGGTTTCCGATACATCGATTGATCTGTCATTTAAACCCATGGAAAAGGATCGATAAACAGGGTGTCCGCAACGAACACTTTAATAATCGATTCTTTCACATAGCTCATATCGGGAAATATCGACAATTGATCATTCACGCCTCGCCACTGGTCCATTCTGGTCACAGACTAACGCAAAGAGGAAATAATCGTTGTATCTACAGTGCGCATACTAGACTTTAGATGACCAAATTTGCAACGTTACTTTTATTGTAAAAAGTGCTGAATTTTCGCCGAAATTAAAATATTATCACAACTAAATGATGAGGAACTGTATGCTTAGGTTCGGCAAGGCAGCCCGGACCAATGATTTGCCCTCAACTGGTCGCTTATGCTAACTTGCAATAGTTGCGTTTAAAAAGAGGTGCCATAATATGCTACCGTATAATTTAAACTGTGCGCTAACTGTGCTTAAATAGCAGGCTTTACGCTCCGAGACAGACAGACCAACGAGTCAATTCGCGAAGAGTGCCAAATTCAAGATATTGCCAAATGGACCAAGATGCGCCGGAAAATGTGGTCGGAACATGTTGAGAGGATGGACAGGGAAAGGCTTGCCAAGATTTGTATGGTAGGACGACCTCATAGCCAAAGGCAACCCGGACGACCGCCCAAGAGATGGGCACAGAGCTGCCTTTCATCCCCGGGGTATTAAGTGATCTCTCTCATCGCCATCATATTTTATTTATCATATTTATATACTAATTTAGAGGCTAGACAAAAAGGGTCACGGCCCTAGTCAGAAGTTATAAGAAGAAGAAGAAGAAGAGAATACTCGAAATGAAAAAGATCTTAAGCACCGTCAGGTGTTGCTCAGATCATACAACAGTTTCTTCTACAATATTTAGTGGGAATCTAGAAGCCTAAAAATAAGCATCTTGTACTTCAGCTATGAAAAAAATATAGGGGTTGTAACAGATTCCACCATGGGTGAAATTCAGCAGTACAAATATTTTTAGATATGAATTCTTACGAGTGCTTTAAATGATTTGCTACAGTAAATCACACAAAATGTCAACTATGTGTTTTGACGATTATTAAATTTGACACGGAGCCACCTTGATATTTTCAGCACAAAGTATATTTTCCTGTAGTACATAATTTTTTTTTTCAATCTTTACGAACAGGAATAATCCATATGCTGAGTGTACACGAATTTCAAAATCATGAGTTGAAAAACGCTGACTCCGCGAGTTCGAATAATAGAGCCGAGCACATAGCGGCGAGCGCTAAACGCGTGGCGCGCGCCTACAAGACTGCCTGGATACTTCATGCATTGCGCGCACAGCACGGAGGATACTTCACGCATTGCACGTAAATCACGGTCCGTTCGCGCAGTGCGTGAAGTATCCACGCAGTCTTGTAGGCGCTAGTAGGCGTTCCGCGCTAGCCGCACTGTGTTCGGCTCTATTATTTAAACTTACGATTTTGGAATGTCTGTACACTCTGTATGGATTATTTACGTTTAAAAATATGAAACAATTATGTACGTATGATCCAACTAATCTCTTCTCTTTCTTCACATGTTCATTAAATGGACGACATTTTGCAATTTGGACCTATTAATTCTGGCTCATCTGTAAACACACGTATGTGCATAGGGAAACTAATGGCACATACGTTGTTTTTAAACCGGGCCGGAATTGATAGTTCCTAATTGCAAAGTGTAATCCAAATATCCAGGGGTTGGGGTGATGAGGCGTAGCCTCCGAATATGATTTATTTGTACATAGTTAACTTGACTACTTCCAATTTATTCCAGTGAAAAGACCAAAATCGTTTCATTTTATCTGCGAAATTGGACAATGATGCGAAAACCAAGATACTTCCGTAGAAAGCTTCGTCAAACTTTTTTTTTCTTTTTTTTTACAAAAAGCCCAACTTTTGGAACGGTTCTGCTCGTAAATCCTCTATCCGATTCCCAAGAAATTCTGACTTGAGTCCGCCCCTCGCGTTTTACACGGGAAATTAGATCACGCCGTGCTGATTAAGACGCACTTTCGGAGGAAACATCGCCAAAGCGAACTCTATCGGAAAAAGATGAAACGTCGCGACAGTTTTGCTTTTAATTACTTGATTCGATTCCCGCAGAATTCCGACCTAAATCCGCCCCGCTTCACCTGAGAAATCAGATCAGTCTGCGCAAATTGAGACACTCCTGGCGGGAGCGTCGCCTTCGACGGCAAATTAATCATCCGCGTGAGGACATTGTTGCCAAGTAGTGCTGAAAATTCAGCATCCACCAGCTTGAGCATCCGCATTTTATCGGAAAACCTGACAACCGTCGATTGAAGCACAAACGGGTTGAATTGGAGGATATAAACATCCAGGACTCGGGGAACTCGAGACGCGAATTTTAAACCCGGCGTTAATTAAGCAAATTCAACCCGTGGGATCTTCATCAATCATGGCCGGCGCTGCCTCCTCGCTCGGAGGTAATTAGCGGATTATCGGTCGGGGCACCGGGGAAATTTCGCGCTGTCGAGATGTGACACCCTGGGTCAAGCTGCGCCGATTAAAACTCGGCGAAAACAATAACTCGCGCCTCACGCTGGCGCCTTTCCCTCTCACGCCCAAGTGGGCGTTGCTAAATTTTGCGGTGGGAAAATCGAGGGGAAAAAATCCTTGTATCCCGGGCGAGGGAACGTAACTCAATTCCAAAGTTGCAACATTGACTCAAGTAATTCAATTGCTTACATGAGCGCGGAGCGCCTACTAGCGCCTACAAGACTGCATGGATACTTCACGCACTGCGCGAGCGGAACGTGATTTACGTGCAACGCGTGAAGTATCCTCCGTGGTGTGCGCGCAATGCATGAAGTATCCACGCAGTCTTGTAGGCGCGTATTGGTAAATCAAAGTAGAGACAACAAACATAATGTAAATAGAGCTTGGTGGATTTAAATCCATCACGCGCCTATATTTTTTTACATACAC